GGAGGGGGGGGGGAGATGGAGTGGGAGAGAGGTGCGGGAAGGATAGGGCGGAAAGGAGAGAGCAGTTGGAAAAGAGGGCCGCATTTTCACATGCATAGCTTCAGGCGCTTTGCTCGCCGTGTCTGACGTAGTGTTGCGGAGGAGGGGAGGGAAATGATGATTAATGCGGAGGGAATAAAATGCAAATGAGCGAGGACCCGCCATGCGCTATGCGCGTAGAAACGAGTGGTGCGACGAAATGAGCTCGCCCATAAATTGTTTAGACGAGACGTTGACGGAATATTTGTTCGCTTCCCCACATCAATTTGTTTTCCCACAGAATGACTAGGCTGCGCATCCTTAACCGCATTGAAGATTGAGGTCAAAGTGGAATGGCAAATCTGACGGAATGTGCGCTGCTTAACCGCATTGAGCTGGCTCGATAGGCGAAATCTGCGAAGCCGTGAGGCGAGTTTTAAGAGTCTTAAAAGCACGACAGCGGACGCTCGAAAGCGGATTGTGCGCGGCCGGGAGACGCGAATTAAGAAAACAAAAATTAGCAAGACTGCAAAAGCGTATTTTTTTTCGAAGACATCTCAACCCGAGTATTGTACAGCAATATGGTCGAAGCTAAGTCGTAATAACTGAAGTGGAGCGAAATGGTGATAGCCTGACAATAGCATGTCGGGAATAGGAAGTTAACTGACGAGCGCGACCTAGAATCCAGATTAACGGTTCGTGGCGCCTAGAAAAATAAGAAAAAAAAAACTCGTAGACGCTCTTAAGAAGACTGCAGGGCTAACGGACCTGCGATGCCCAACCAGTCGGCCGGTTCCGAGCGTCGGCAGATATCCAGCTGCCGTCCTTTATTCGCGGCGGGCCGTCCGGCCGACCCGGACCTCCCCGCGACTCGCCGGCTCCGCCTTGCCGGAACGCCATTGGGAACTAACCGGCTGAAATAACCGGTCGGACTAACCAGCTGAAATTACTGCTTGATTTAACCGGGTAATAGTAACCAGTCGAATCAGCCGACCGAGCGACCATAAATTATGGGGAACGACGCAAGCGGGTGCTTGCACATGGGTAACTTGCATATGAGGGACGATCTTATCGCATTCGGACCCCCAATCGAGGGAAGTGCCAAATGAGGAGCTTCCAGAAAGGCCTATAGTAGAACAGCTAAACCTAGCACATTTAGTGCAGTGCCTGAAAAGGGAAACCAGCGAGAATCTATGTGATGCCTTTCTGTTGAAAAAGATGGAAAGGAACAAGAGACACGAGAAGAAAGCGGAGTAAGGGGAAGAGGGAAGAGAGAAAAGGACAGCTATGGAGGAGGTCGGTTTGCTGGTGAGAAGTAACGGCAATCCCTTGAGTCGAGAAACGTGGATGCGGCGACGAGGGGAGGCAATGAGGCGGGGAAAGATGGGGGGGAAAGAAGCGAAGAATGCCTCGAGAACACCGAACCGAACCGAAAGAAACCAATCAGCACGCAGGAGCAGCAGACCACCACTCGCCAGAGGGGTGGTGCCTGTCGGGTACTGTTCAGGGATTACCAAAAGGCGGACGCGGCTTTTAGCGAAACCAGCACTTCGCGATAAATGAAACGATAATGTATGAGCATTAAGTATTTCTTTAGGGTAAATATAGGAACAGTTGAGGGTCTTGCTGGCTCCCTCCCCGACCCAACACACCAAGAGAATATGCAGGATATTTTCTCAGACTGTATGGTTTGGGACATGTGTGGATGGTCAAAACTCATTGGCACAACTACATGTACAATCAACAAAACTATCCACTAGTCTAGTTACGCGTTCGTGCACACAACCGTTGCAAAAACGGCAAAATCTCATCCAGCAATGAATTCAAATCCCTCCCTCCAATCCCAGACTTTAGTCCCGGCAACACCTCTGCCATCCCAGACCCCATGATTGCCTCTTTCCCCAACCTTTCCCTTCCTTCACCAATGGTTCCGTGTGGTTCCAACGAATCACCACTGTGCTGCTGCCTGTGCTGATTACAATCCACCACCAGCAGCGGCACACCATCGAGTACACTGTGTGTCAAGGCTCCGTCCAAAGAGGCATTGAAGGAATGGCCTGCTGGAAGGAAGTGAGTGCGCACACACGAGTCAGGGATGAAGCATTATGGGGGGCGGATATGGGGAGATCATGGGTAGAACATTTGGAGATTGTGGGGAAAACATGGAAAAATACTTGCAGAGAACAAGGAAAAGATTAAGGAGAATGACTAGGAATATCTGGACAACGTGCCGACAGCAGCACCAGTCCAGTCTCCCCTACTGACCTGCTGCATGTTCCAAATCTGTCCTGTGAGAACCTTCCAGGAACCAGCGATCATACAGCGCGTGCAGTCGCTGCAGGTATGGCAAGTCAACAGAGGTCTCTTCGGATCGCGATCTGTGCAGGGAAAGTTGGGCGGCCAGAGGATGGGAAAGAAGGGAAAGGAGAAAAGAGTGAAGCACTGATAGGAGATGTGAGAGGCGATTGTACAGCTTGTGCAGCCGCTGCTGCAGGTACGCAAGTCAACAGAGGTCTCTTCGAAGCGAGAGCTGCGTGGAAAGTGGCGGATGGTTGAAGGGATAGGTAAGGAGGAATGGGTGCGTGATTGAGTTGATGCAAAGTGTGCATTGCACACATATATAAGATGCGTGTGAGTGAGTGGGTGGGTGGGTGGCCTTGGAGAAGGAAAGTTCGGGCGACAGAGTGACAGAGACAGAGGCAGACAAACAATGAGACAGTGAGGGGAGGAGGGCAGAGTGGTACAGAGCAGAGGAGGAGACACACCGTTGCTTCAGGCGCTGCAGGCACACAGAGGGGTCTGCTCTGAGGTAGATGAAGGCATCGGGTACCTGATGGGAGGAAAGTGGTGGGGGTGTTGGGGACAGGAGAGCCCGGGGCACACCGTTACTGCAGGCACACAGAGGGGTCAGCCCTGAGGTAGATGAAGGCATCGGGTAGCTGATGGGAGGAGAGGGAGGTGGGCAGGGGGAGGAGGGGAAGGGTGGGGGAAGAGAGTGGGGAAGTTAGGAAGAGAGCAGCAGCGGAAGCATGGCACACAGGGGGGTGGGCTCTTAGGTAGATGAATGCATCGGGTGCCTAATGGGAGCTGATGGGAGTGAGGTGGTATGAGGGCGGTCGAGAAGGGTACTCAACACGCCAGGCAGCATGGGCAGCACGGCATCGACCACGAGTCATAGAGAGCCTCTTCTAGTGAGGGGAGCAAGGGGACTGCTGTGGGACTCACGCCATGCAAGCCACTCACGCCATGCAAGCCACTCACGCCATGCAAGCCACTCACGCCAGGTACTCACCACGCCAGGCAGCATGGGCAGCACGGCATCCACCCACGAGTCATAGAGTGCTTCCTCTAGCGGCGTGAATAGCCCCCCCGCCACTGCAGCCGGAGCAAACACAAGGCGGTCGCAGAAGAGGGATCGCTCGCAGAGGCGGAGAGCCAAGGGGTGGTGGTGCAAGCCACGGCCGTACTGAGAAGCACGCGAGATAAAAACCAGACTCTGAAAGGTGTAGGCGAACCTGAGAGAAAATGAGGGGAAAGGGAAGAGGAAGAGGGGAGGGAGAAGGCAGAGGGGTGGTGGAGGTGGGCATGGGGCGGAGACCAGACTCAGAAGGTGTAGGCGAGCCTGAAAGATGCAGTACTTTTCCCCTTCTCCCCTCCTCCCGTCCCCCCCACCCACCAATTGGGGTCCTTGTAAAACGTGTCCATAGCATTTGCCCCGCTGCCCCCCCCCCTTCTCCCCTCTCCCCGCTCTCCCCCTCCCCCTCCTCACCTCACCTCTTGGGGTCCTTGTAAAACGCGTCCAGCGCGTTTGCCCCGCTCCCCCGCACGTTGCGCCACTCACGGAGCGGCTCGGGCAGCAGCGCCACGTCAGCACCGCCCGTGACTGCTTTCCGCAGTGCCACGTCACTGCAGAGTGAGGGGAAGGTTTGGGAGGGGGTAAAGGGAACACTGGGAATGTGGGGATGAGGGGAGGAATTTAAGGCGGGTCAGAACACTGGAAATGTGGGGGGAGCAGGGGATGAGGGGTGGGGGGAGGTGGTGGGGGGGAGGGCGTGATGAGTGGAGGGAGGTTGGTGTGGATAAACGGTAAGAGACAAAGCTTCCCACCTTATCAATCGCTCGCCGAGAGCACTCAGGACCGTTGATTTCCCCACGCCTATGTTTCCCTCCACTGCCACCGTCCATCCGCGCGCCTTCTCCGCCGATCCTGCCCCATCCGCCCCGCTCACAGTCCATCCGCGCGCCTTCTCCTCCGCGCGGTGCCAACCATGAGATGCGGGCACCGGAGACGCCTCAATACAAGACGGTTCGATATAAGAAACCATGCTGGCAGCTCCGCTCGCCGCGGCAGCAACATCAGTCGCGAATTCTGTGGCAATTGCGCTGCCCGCTCGTTCCGAAACACGATTCGCGTCGAGCGCCACCTGGCATGCTGTAGCAGTGCCACGTGTCCCGGAATCCGTTCCGGCTGCACTGACCAATTGTCGTGGCGCCTCGAGTGTGGACGGGCGAGCGGCAATTGCGGGCGATGCGAGGACGCGCAGGAGAGACGCGAGCGCGCGGCGCGGGCGCATGGGGAGGAGATTAGCTAACTAAACAGAGACATAGAGGGATGCCGAGATTTTCCTGTTGAGGAGGGGCGCGATTCACGAATAACGTGAAGAGAACAACTGAATTCATACGAGTGCCACATGGTGGAATCAGCATAACGCTTACACAAATCAGCAATGCTTTGAAATTTCATTAACCCAGCTTTCCTAATAAAGTAGCTCACCATTCTTTAGTGTTGCATACAGGTACCATGCCAATAACCAGGACACGGCCACAACTGATTAGCCTGCCCTCTTCCCTCTGGATGGGAAACAAATCGCTTGTCAATCATCACCACTTTTAGACTCCCATGAGAAATCTTGACAGCACCATTCCGCCAGGTATGTTTGTAATGCGTGTGTATCCAACAGTGCTGATTCCATCAGAGGCCAACAAATGAAACGGTGGCGATGAGTGGTTTAGAAGCCGGAAAAGAATCCCAATGCTGCTGCTGCAGCTGCAGCATCAGCTGCTGCTGCTGCCTATCCCCAGAGCTGAGTTGGTCATCTAGAATTCTCAATAACCTTGCCTCTTTCCCCCTCCCCCCCCTCTCTCCACTTTCCTTTCTCTCCCTTCCCATCCCCCCCTTCCCCGCTCGTTCCCTCTCACTCCCACTCACTCCCTCTCGCTCTCTGACAGAGCATCTGGGCGGCTAAACCTCAGCCTGAGCTATTCAGTGTGAAGAGAAAGCTGTGTGGCAGCGTCCCCTCCTCCTATGCCCAGTTCCTGCGCCTCACTCCCCCCCTCACTCCCCCCCTCACTCCCTCGCTCCCTCCCTCTCTCTCTGACAGAGCATCTGGGCGGCTAAGCCTCAGCCTGAGTGTTTCAGTGTGAAGAGACAGCTGTGTAACAGCGTCCGCTCCCCCTCCTATGCCCAGAGCTTGCATCCTCAACTCAACTTGTGCCTTCATTCCCTCCCCTCACACCCTCACTCCCTCCCTCACTCTCTCTCACTCTCTGACAGAGCATCTGGGCGGCTAAGCCTCAGCCTGAGCGTTTCAGTGTGCAGAGAAAGCTGTGTGGCAGCGTCCCCTCCCCTTCCTCCCAGCCCCTGGCACCTTAGCACTACCTGTTCCTCACTCCCTCCCTCACTCCCTCCCTCACTCCCTCCCTCACTCCCTCCCTCACTCCCTCCCTTGCTCCCTCACTTCCTCACTCCTTCTCGCTCTCTGACAGAGCATCTGGGCGGCTGAGTCTCAGCCTGAGCGTTTCAGTGTGCAGGGAAAGCTGTGTGGCAGCGTCCCCTCCCCCATTTATGCCCAGAGCCTGCCTCCGCAGCTCTGCCTGCGCTTCACTCCTCTCCCTCTTCCTCCTCTGCCTCCTCCTCTCCACCTGTCCAACGAACACGTGGGACATGTCACGCAGTGGAGATGCAGGGCGGGAAGGAAAACAATGCGATGAAGCGAACTGGAGAGAGAGAGAGAGGGAAGGAGAAGAGGGAGCAGAGGGAATGGCCATTGCAGCCGCGCCTTCCTATGCCCAGAGCATGCCTCCTCAGCTCTGCCTGCGCTTCACTCCTCTCCCTCTTCCTCTTCTGCCTCCTCCTCTCCACCTGTCCAACGAACACGAGCGATATGCACGGCATATGGTAGGGACACGAGGGACATGAGACATGGGTGGGGCAGCGATGCCGATATGCATGGCATATGGCAGGAGGGGCATGAGACATGGGTGGGGCAGCGATGCCGATATGCATGGCATATGGCAGGAGGAGCATGAGACATGGGTGGGGCAGCGATGCCGATATGCATGGCATATGGCAGGAGGGGCATGAGACATGGGTGGGGCAGCGATGGCGCGTGGTGGCAACAGGAGCACATGATGAAATCAAATACAATTGAGCAGGTGCAGTGAGCACGGATGCATAATGAGCAGAGATGTATAGAGAGAGGAGAGAAAGCCGAGACGGAGGAAAGAAAGTTGAGAACACGCCCATGCCCACTCCTAGTCCCCCAGCAGGCCTCAGCTCAACCCTCACCTGCTTCTCCTTCTCCCAACGATCGTACTGCTCCTGAGCCATTGCCACGCCCTCAAACTCCCTTACACCCTTTCACACCCTCTCACACCCCCTCACACCCCTTCACACCCACAAACCCACGCCCACTCCCAAGTCCCCCACCAGCCCCCAACTGAACCCTCACCTGCTTCTCCTTCTCCCACCAATCATACTGCTCCTGAGCCATAGCCACACCCTCAAACTCCCTCACACCCGCCCCTCCTCCTTACACGCCCCCACACACCCTCTTCCAGCCCCACAAGCCCACACCCACTCCACTCCCAAGTCCCTCGCCAGCCCCAACTGAACCCTCACCTGCTTCTCCTTCTCCTCCCACCGCTCGTACTGCTCCTGAGCCATCGCCACACCTTCAAACTCCTTTACACCCCCGCCTCCTCCTCCCACGCCCCCTTCCAGCCCCACAAGGCCATCAGAACTGGAGCTGTAATCCGAGTCCTCCTCCTCTTCCTCCGTCCGCCATACCACTGCCTCCTCCCTCCACGCCTGCCCACGCACCAAGCTGCTGCCGTTGCTGCTGCCAGGGGAATCACTCCCTCCTCCCGTACCTCCGGTTGTGATTACGCTGCTGCTGCTGCTCGTGCTGTAGCCGGTAATCGTACCAGCACCTGCCTCCCGTTGCTCTGTGCCTGTACCCTCAGTCCCAGCTGATGCTGCCAGCAGCTGCTCCTGGTGGTCCTGGTTAACCACGCCTCTAGACTTTCCTACCCTCCTCCCTTCTCCTTCTCTTTCTAACTCCTCTCCATCCAAACCCTCCTCCTCATCCTCCTCCGCTCCTCCAGACACATCGCTCCTAACAACATCGAACGCGCTGTTCTCTCCTCTTCTCACGCTCTTCCCCTCAATATCCGTCCCACTCCCCCTTTCATTCCCACTTTCCCCCACACCATCTCTCTCCCCCATATCAGAGTCGGTATACACACCTTCAGAATACATCCCCTCCTCCCCGTCTCCACTTGTTAACCACCCTCCACCCACCAGCACCTCCCCCTCCTCCCCCTCCTCCCCCTCACTCTCACTATCCAGTAACACCCCCCTTCCCCCTGCTCTCCCCCTCCCCAGCTTCATCTGCTCACAAGTCTCGCACTTACTCTCCCCCTCCCCCTTCCCTTCCCCCTCTCCTCTCCCCATATCACCCAACCCCCTCGACCTCACTTCCTGACTAATCCTCTCCTTCCTCCTCCCCTCCCTCCTCTTCTCACTCTCCCACTCTTCTACCAACGCTCTCTCCCTGTCCTTCTCTCTCTTCCTCTCTGTCTCCTTCTCTATATCCTCCTCTTCCTTCCCCGCCCCCAGCTTTCCCTTCACGCCGCCCCCACTGGCCCCTTCCGTCTCTTTCAGCTCTTCAAATCGGACTGCCACCACCTTCCTTGCATTTCCGGACAAAATCTGCCACCCAGGCGAAACCCAGAGGGAAGGAGGAAGGGGAGAGTGAAGGTAGCTTCTGGGTTAATTCTCAGCATAAGCAGGTGGAAAAGGACGGCTTATAAGGCGACTACGGACGAAAGAGGAACATAGTCAAGAATCTGTCAACAACAATCGACTCGAGTGCACCACTCGGCACCGCACTGCACCACCCGGCACCCCACTGGACCGCCCCACTGCACCACCCCTCTCCCACGCCTTCACCATACACAATCAACAAAAACCCCCAAACCCTCAAAACCCTCAATCCGATTGTGAATCCCCAAGTTACCTCGAGCTGGAATCGCAGCAGCTGCTTGCGCGGTCCTTTGTCTCCCCCATCCCTCTCCCGCCCCTTCCCTCCCTTCCCGCCAGCTCCCCCCTCCTCTGCACCCTCGCCCTCCTCCTCCTCCTCGCTCTCCTTTCGCTGCAGCCGAATTATCTTGGTGTCACCAGTGCGTGGGATGTATCCAAACGCCTCACACACGAAACCAGACACCGTCTCGTAGAAGGAAGCTCTCTGGAAAGAACGACGGGGGGGATGGGAGAAGGAGGAGCAGAAGGGGAGATGGAAAGGGAGAAAGAGGCGTGAGAGACACCTGTTGGTGTTCGCCGTGAGGAGAAAGGAACACGACTTACGGCGGCAGTGTAGGCACGACTCACAGGCGGCAGGACGACTTGGAGAATGTCAGCAAGGTCATCGACGGTGGTGTTGGCGTCCACATCATACACGCCCTCCGCCCTCTGGATGATGTACCCCGTCTTGCGCCGAATCTCCTCCTGTTTCGTTGGCACGCGCACACAGGCACAGGCACACACAGGTCAAGGCGGAGGCAGAGGCGGAATGACAGAGCAGGAAGGACCTTCGGCGGGCCAGGCAGGAAGACTGAAGAAATAACCCCAAATCCTACAATCACGGCCCCCAAAACATCTTTGAAATGCTTGGTTCATCTTACAAACCGGGATACCGGGAAACCGGGAAACCGGGAAACCGGGATACCGGGATACCGGGAAACCGGGAAACCGGGAAACCGGAAAACCGGAAAAACCGGGAAAACCGGGAAACCGGGAAACCGGGAAACCGGGAAACCGGGATACCGGGATACCGGGAAACCGGGAAACCGGGAAACCGGGAAACCGGGAAACCGGGATACCGGGATACCGGGAAACCGGGAAACCGGGAAACCGGGATACCGGGATACCGGGATACCGGGAAACCGGGAAACCGGGAAACCGGGAAACCGGGAAACCGGGATACCGGGAAACCGGGATACCGGGAAACCGGGAAACCGGGAAACCGGGAAACCGGGAAACCGGGATACCGGGATACCGGGAAACCGGGAAACCGGGAAACCGGGAAACCGGGAAACCGGGATACCGGGAAACCGGGAAACCGGGAAACTGGGAAACCGGGAAACCGTGAAACCGGGAAACCGGGAAACCGGGATACCGGGAAACCGGGAAACCGGGATACCGGGATACCGGGATACCGGGAAACCGGGAAACCGGGAACCGGGAGGAAACCGGGAAACCGGGAAACCGGGAAACCGGGATACCGGGATACCGGGAGGAAACCAAGAAACCGGGATACCGGGAAACCGGGATACCGGGAAACCGGGAAACCGGGAAACCGGGATACCGGGATACCGGGATACCGGGAAACCGGGATACCGGGAAACCGGGAAACCGGGAAACCGGGAAACCGGGAAACCGGGAAACCGGGAAACCGGGATACCGGGAAACCGGGAAACCGGGAAACTGGGAAACCGGGAAACCGGGAAACCGTGAAACCGGAAAAACCGGGAAAACCGGGAAACCGGGAAACCGGAAAACCGGGAAACCGGGATACCGGGATACCGGGAAACCGGGAAACCGGGAAACCGGGAAACCGGGAAACCGGGAAACCGGGAAACCGGGAAACCGGGATACCGGGATACGGGGAGGAAACCGGGAAACCGGGAAACCGGGATACCGGGAAACCGGGATACCGGGATACCGGGAAACCGGGAAACCGGGAAACCGGGAAACCGGGAAACCGGGAAACCGGGAAACCGGGATACCGGGAAACCGGGAAACCGGGAAACTGGGAAACCGGGAAACCGGGAAACCGTGAAACCGGGAAACCGGGAAACCGGGATACCGGGAAACCGGGAAACCGGGATACCGGGATACCGGGATACCGGGAAACCGGGAAACCGGGAAACCGGGAAACCGGGAAACCGGGATACCGGGATACCGGGAAACCGGGAAACCGGGAAACCGGGAAACCGGAAAACCGGGATACAGGGATACCGGGATACCGGGAAACCGGGAAACCGGGAAACCGGGATACCGGGATACCGGGATACCGGGAAACCGGGATACCGGGATACCGGGATACCGGGAAACCGGGAAACCGGGAAACCGGGAAACCGGGAAACCGGGAAACCGGGAAACCGGGAAACCGGGATACCGGGATACCGGGAAACCGGGAAACCGGGAAACCGGGAAACCGGAAAACCGGGATACCGGGATACCGGGATACCGGGATACCGGGAAACCGGGATACCGGGAAACCGGGAAACCGGGAAACCGGGATACCGGGATACCGGGATACCGGGAAACCGGGATACCGGGAAACCGGGAAACCGGGAAACCGGGAAACCGGGAAACCGGGAAACCGGGAAACCGGGAAACCGGGATACCGGGAAACCGGGAAACCGGGAAACCGGGAAACCGTGAAACCGGAAAAACCGGGAAAACCGGGAAACCGGGAAACCGGGAAACCGGGAAACTGGGATACCGGGATACCGGGAAACCGGGAAACCGGGAAACCGGGAAACCGGGAAACCGGGAAACCGGGAAACCGGGAAACCGGGATACCGGGATACGGGGAGGAAACCGGGAAACCGGGAAACCGGGATACCGGGAAACCGGGATACCGGGAAACCGGGAAACCGGGAAACCGGGAAACCGGGAAGCCGGGAAACCGGGATACCGGGAAACCGGGATACCGGGATACCGGGAAACCACGAAACCGGGATACCGGGATACCGGGAAACCGGGAAACCGGGATACCGGGATACCGGGAAACCGGGAAACCGGGAAACCGGGATACCGGGAAACCGGGAAACCGGGAAACCGGGAAACCGGGATACCGGGAAACCGGGAAACCGGGAAACCGGGAAACGGGGAAACCGGGAAGCCGGGAAACCGGGAAACCGGGAAACCGGGATACCGGGAAACCGGGAAACCGGGATACCGGGATACCGGGATACCGGGATACCGGGAAACCGGGAAACCGGGAAACCGAGAAACCGGGAAACCGGGAAACCGGGAAATTGGGAAACCGGGATACCGGGAAACCGGGAAACCGGGATATCCCATCGCCCTAAACGTACCTTGGAGTCATTCTCGTCAAAAATCTCCCCCACGATTTCCTCGACTGCATCTTCCAGTGTCACCAGCTGATGGGAGAAGGATGGGACACAGAACATGGGGGCTCAAAGCACAAGACGCAAAGCACAAGACGCAAGGCATGAGGCACTAAAAGCACTCAGGTCAACTTAGTCCCTCTCTCTTCCTCACTGTCTCTCCCACCGCAGCCTCCAGTATCACCAGCTGATGGGAAAACGGGTGGGTCATGCAACGTGGCATATGGAGAGCACAAGGGAGGGCGGGAGGAGGGCATGGTGGACAATTTGGGTCATCACAGGGAGCGTGCACGTGCGGTGGGGGTTGATGCGCAGTTCACATAAGTGAGTGGGAGAGGCGAATGAGGGGGAGAGAAGCAGAGCGCGAGAGAAGGAGGCGAAGAAGGGGAGAGAAGCAGAGCGCGAGAGAAGGAGGCGAACGAAGGGGAGAGAAGCAGAGCGCAAGAGAAGGAGGCGAACAAGGGGGAGAGAAGCAGAGCGCGAGAGAAGGAGAGCGAGCAACAGAGACCCACAAGGCTGCCGTTCTCGATGAGCAAAGTACCATCACGCTGAACTGGCGGTGGATGCACAATCCATAAAAAAGAGTGGGTGAGAGAACGAGGGGGGGAGAAGAAGAGAGGGAAGCAGAGAGAGAGAGAGAGAGAGAGAGAGAGAGAGAGAGAGAGAGAGAGAGAGAGAGAGAGAGAGAGAGAGAGAGAGAGAGAGAGAGAGAGAGAGAGAGAGAGAGAGAGCAGAGGATCGACTTACCCCCACGGTGCCGCCATACTCGTTGAGCACGATGGCCATGTGCACTTTGCGGATGCGGAACTAGAGAGGGCGAGAATGAACAGAGAGAGCATGACAGAGGGACAGCTACTCGGCCCCACTTTCCCCCACGGTGCCGCCATACTCGTTGAGCACGATGGCCATGTGCACTTTGCGGATGCGGAACTAGAGAGGGCGAGAATGAACAGAGAGAGCATGACAGAGGGACAGCTACTCGGCCCCACTTTCCCCCACGGTGCCGCCATACTCGTTGAGCACGATGGCCATGTGCACTTTGCGGATGCGGAACTAGAGAGGGCGAGAATGAACAGAGAGAGCATGACAGAGGGACAGCTACTCGGCCCCACTTTCCCCCACGGTGCCGCCATACTCGTTGAGCACGATGGCCATGTGCACTTTGCGGATGCGGAACTAGAGAGGGCGAGAATGAACAGAGAGAGCATGACAGAGGGACAGCTACTCGGCCCCACTTTCCCCCACGGTGCCGCCATACTCGTTGAGCACGATGGCCATGTGCACTTTGCGGATGCGGAACTAGAGAGGGCGAGAATGAACAGAGAGAGCATGACAGAGGGACAGCTACTCGGCCCCACTTTCCCCCACGGTGCCGCCATACTCGTTGAGCACGATGGCCATGTGCACTTTGCGGATGCGGAACTAGAGAGGGCGAGAATGAACAGAGAGAGCATGACAGAGGGACAGCTACTCGGCCCCACTTTCCCCCACGGTGCCGCCATACTCGTTGAGCACGATGGCCATGTGCACTTTGCGGATGCGGAACTAGAGAGGGCGAGAATGAACAGAGAGAGCATGACAGAGGGACAGCTACTCGGCCCCACTTTCCCCCACGGTGCCGCCATACTCGTTGAGCACGATGGCCATGTGCACTTTGCGGATGCGGAACTAGAGAGGGCGAGAATGAACAGAGAGAGCATGACAGAGGGACAGCTACTCGGCCCCACTTTCCCCCACGGTGCCGCCATACTCGTTGAGCACGATGGCCATGTGCACTTTGCGGATGCGGAACTAGAGAGGGCGAGAATGAACAGAGAGAGCATGACAGAGGGACAGCTACTCGGCCCCACTTTCCCCCACGGTGCCGCCATACTCGTTGAGCACGATGGCCATGTGCACTTTGCGGATGCGGAACTAGAGAGGGCGAGAATGAACAGAGAGAGCATGACAGAGGGACAGCTACTCGGCCCCACTTTCCCCCACGGTGCCGCCATACTCGTTGAGCACGATGGCCATGTGCACTTTGCGGATGCGGAACTAGAGAGGGCGAGAATGAACAGAGAGAGCATGACAGAGGGACAGCTACTCGGCCCCACTTTCCCCCACGGTGCCGCCATACTCGTTGAGCACGATGGCCATGTGCACTTTGCGGATGCGGAACTAGAGAGGGCGAGAATGAACAGAGAGAGCATGACAGAGGGACAGCTACTCGGCCCCACTTTCCCCCACGGTGCCGCCATACTCGTTGAGCACGATGGCCATGTGCACTTTGCGGATGCGGAACTAGAGAGGGCGAGAATGAACAGAGAGAGCATGACAGAGGGACAGCTACTCGGCCCCACTTTCCCCCACGGTGCCGCCATACTCGTTGAGCACGATGGCCATGTGCACTTTGCGGATGCGGAACTAGAGAGGGCGAGAATGAACAGAGAGAGCATGACAGAGGGACAGCTACTCGGCCCCACTTTCCCCCACGGTGCCGCCATACTCGTTGAGCACGATGGCCATGTGCACTTTGCGGATGCGGAACTAGAGAGGGCGAGAATGAACAGAGAGAGCATGACAGAGGGACAGCTACTCGGCCCCACTTTCCCCCACGGTGCCGCCATACTCGTTGAGCACGATGGCCATGTGCACTTTGCGGATGCGGAACTAGAGAGGGCGAGAATGAACAGAGAGAGCATGACAGAGGGACAGCTACTCGGCCCCACTTTCCCCCACGGTGCCGCCATACTCGTTGAGCACGATGGCCATGTGCACTTTGCGGATGCGGAACTAGAGAGGGCGAGAATGAACAGAGAGAGCATGACAGAGGGACAGCTACTCGGCCCCACTTTCCCCCACGGTGCCGCCATACTCGTTGAGCACGATGGCCATGTGCACTTTGCGGATGCGGAACTAGAGAGGGCGAGAATGAACAGAGAGAGCATGACAGAGGGACAGCTACTCGGCCCCACTTTCCCCCACGGTGCCGCCATACTCGTTGAGCACGATGGCCATGTGCACTTTGCGGATGCGGAACTAGAGAGGGCGAGAATGAACAGAGAGAGCATGACAGAGGGACAGCTACTCGGCCCCACTTTCCCCCACGGTGCCGCCATACTCGTTGAGCACGATGGCCATGTGCACTTTGCGGATGCGGAACTAGAGAGGGCGAGAATGAACAGAGAGAGCATGACAGAGGGACAGCTACTCGGCCCCACTTTCCCCCACGGTGCCGCCATACTCGTTGAGCACGATGGCCATGTGCACTTTGCGGATGCGGAACTAGAGAGGGCGAGAATGAACAGAGAGAGCATGACAGAGGGACAGCTACTCGGCCCCACTTTCCCCCACGGTGCCGCCATACTCGTTGAGCACGATGGCCATGTGCACTTTGCGGATGCGGAACTAGAGAGGGCGAGAATGAACAGAGAGAGCATGACAGAGGGACAGCTACTCGGCCCCACTTTCCCCCACGGTGCCGCCATACTCGTTGAGCACGATGGCCATGTGCACTTTGCGGATGCGGAACTAGAGAGGGCGAGAATGAACAGAGAGAGCATGACAGAGGGACAGCTACTCGGCCCCACTTTCCCCCACGGTGCCGCCATACTCGTTGAGCACGATGGCCATGTGCACTTTGCGGATGCGGAACTAGAGAGGGCGAGAATGAACAGAGAGAGCATGACAGAGGGACAGCTACTCGGCCCCACTTTCCCCCACGGTGCCGCCATACTCGTTGAGCACGATGGCCATGTGCACTTTGCGGATGCGGAACTAGAGAGGGCGAGAATGAACAGAGAGAGCATGACAGAGGGACAGCTACTCGGCCCCACTTTCCCCCACGGTGCCGCCATACTCGTTGAGCACGATGGCCATGTGCACTTTGCGGATGCGGAACTAGAGAGGGCGAGAATGAACAGAGAGAGCATGACAGAGGGACAGCTACTCGGCCCCACTTTCCCCCACGGTGCCGCCATACTCGTTGAGCACGATGGCCATGTGCACTTTGCGGATGCGGAACTAGAGAGGGCGAGAATGAACAGAGAGAGCATGACAGAGGGACAGCTACTCGGCCCCACTTTCCCCCACGGTGCCGCCATACTCGTTGAGCACGATGGCCATGTGCACTTTGCGGATGCGGAACTAGAGAGGGCGAGAATGAACAGAGAGAGCATGACAGAGGGACAGCTACTCGGCCCCACTTTCCCCCACGGTGCCGCCATACTCGTTGAGCACGATGGCCATGTGCACTTTGCGGATGCGGAACTAGAGAGGGCGAGAATGAACAGAGAGAGCATGACAGAGGGACAGCTACTCGGCCCCACTTTCCCCCACGGTGCCGCCATACTCGTTGAGCACGATGGCCATGTGCACTTTGCGGATGCGGAACTAGAGAGGGCGAGAATGAACAGAGAGAGCATGACAGAGGGACAGCTACTCGGCCCCACTTTCCCCCACGGTGCCGCCATACTCGTTGAGCACGATGGCCATGTGCACTTTGCGGATGCGGAACTAGAGAGGGCGAGAATGAACAGAGAGAGCATGACAGAGGGACAGCTACTCGGCCCCACTTTCCCCCACGGTGCCGCCATACTCGTTGAGCACGATGGCCATGTGCACTTTGCGGATGCGGAACTAGAGAGGGCGAGAATGAACAGAGAGAGCATGACAGAGGGACAGCTACTCGGCCCCACTTTCCCCCACGGTGCCGCCATACTCGTTGAGCACGATGGCCATGTGCACTTTGCGGATGCGGAACTAGAGAGGGCGAGAATGAACAGAGAGAGCATGACAGAGGGACAGCTACTCGGCCCCACTTTCCCCCACGGTGCCGCCATACTCGTTGAGCACGATGGCCATGTGCACTTTGCGGATGCGGAACTAGAGAGGGCGAGAATGAACAGAGAGAGCATGACAGAGGGACAGCTACTCGGCCCCACTTTCCCCCACGGTGCCGCCATACTCGTTGAGCACGATGGCCATGTGCACTTTGCGGATGCGGAACTAGAGAGGGCGAGAATGAACAGAGAGAGCATGACAGAGGGACAGCTACTCGGCCCCACTTTCCCCCACGGTGCCGCCATACTCGTTGAGCACGATGGCCATGTGCACTTTGCGGAAGTGAGTGGGAGAGAGGGGAACGGAGAGTGAGAGAAAGGGCGACCAGCTACTCACCCCCACTTACCCCCACGGTGCCACCATATTCGTTCAGTACGATGGCCATGTGCATGTGGGGACGCGCATTTGACATGCAGAGACAAATGGAGCGTGAGAGGGCGGGCTACTCACCCCCACGGTGCCGCCGTATTCGTTGAGCACGATGGCCATGTGCACTTTACGGATGCGGAACTCCCTCAGAAGGTTCCACACCGACATGGAGTCTGCAGCACATGTGGAAACAGGTGGTGGAGGGGGGGGAAAGGAAATGGGACAAGGGGCGGGATGGGGGAGGATTGGGGGCAGGAGAGAGTAAAGGTCGGGGTTGGGGATGGGGGAGGGGGAGAAGAGGGAGAAAGGGGAGAGAAAGGGTTGAGATTGGAGGACAGCACAAAGAGGGCAGTACAAGGTAGGTGACGTGATGGGAAAGCTGATAAGGGTGCGGGAGAGGGGAGAGGAGGCAAAGACAAAGAGGCGTAGGGGTGTGGTTTCTCACCAGGGACGAAGTATGCCGGCCGATGCGCAATCCTGCCCACACTCAAGCGATGCAGCAGCTCCGGCTGGCATGTGGGGACAGTGCGAGGGAGAGAGGTGGCAAAGGGGGAATGGGGCGGGACAGTGGAAGGAGGGGAAGGGGAGGGGAGGAGAGGATAGGGAGTGGAGCGTGAATTTAGTGTGGACAACAGCAGCAGAGAGAGAAGGTGATGTGTGGGAAAAGGATGAACGATGGCAGTGCCACACTCACACAGACCCCCACCTGCCCCACACACAGATGCCACCTGCCTCACAAACAGATACCACCTTCCTCACACCCATCCCACCCACCTGCTCCACGTAGTCGAGCATGTCCATGGCATACGCGATCCCCACGATGTTGTCCACCCGGCGCTCATACACAGATAGGTGCACTTGCCCCTCGCATACATACACACACACACACCCCGCCAGCCTCACACAGGCCCCATCCCCCACCCCACACAGGCCCCATCCCCCACACTACCTGCTCCACATAGTCAAGCATGTCCATGGCATACGCGATCCCCTGCACTTGCCCCTCACTCTCTCTCACTCGACCTCTGTCAAGCACACAGCCCGACCCCCACCCACCTGTTCCACATAGTCGAGCATGTCCATGGCATACGCGATCCCCACAATGTTGTCCACTCTCCGTTCGTAGACAGGCACGCGTGAGTACTGGTGACGCACCCACAGCGCTCGCAGCTCCATGAGCGACGCGGACGAACTGACCGCCACCACATCCACGAGAGGGGTCATGACTTCACGGACATATGTGTCTTTGATTTCCAGTACATTTTCGATCATGTCCTGTGCGGGCGAGGGGGAATGGGACGTGGGGAATGGGCGGTGGGGCAATGAGGGTTGGGAAATGGGGGAGTGAGTACTGGTGACGCACCCACAGCGCACGCAGCTCCATGAGCGACGCAGAGGAGCTGACCGCCACCGCGTCGACTAGAGGAGTTATCACTTCACGCACATAGGTGTCCTTGATTTCGAGCACATTTTCAATAATGTCCTGTTGAGTATACATGGGCAATGAGCCGAGCCGAGTTTTACTCGGCTCGTTCCCAGGCACACTCGTACGAGCTTTGTTCCGAGCCGAGTTTTGCTCGTACGAGCTTTTTCCGGGCAAATGCAAGCTCGTGACTCGGCTAAATACCACGAGCTTTTCAAAAGCTCGTCCGAGCTTCAAGGAAAGCTCGGTCGAGCCGAGGGAAGCTCGGCTCGTTGCCATATACATGCACGAGCTTTTCAAAAAGCTCGTCAGCGCAACGGGTGCTCGGCGAGTTCTAAAAACTCGCCGAGTTAAACTCGCCTCGGCTCGGACGAGTTTTTTTCAGGGAAAATGAAACTCGTCACTCGCCCTCGAACGAGTGCCTCGTACGAGCCGAGGCGAAAAACTCGCCTCGGTGCCCATGTATACTGTTGAGGGCGAGCGGGAATGGGAGGTGAGGTGGGGGAATGGGAGGTCAAAGAACGAGAAACGGGGGCTGACTTGTTGAGAATGAGGGGTGCAAGGAGGCTGACTTGTATCGTATCCTCCTTGCACCCCTCACTTGCCCATTCCAATTCCACCATGCCCCGCTCACCTGCTCCTCCTCCTCAATGGCGCCACTCATCTCCGCCCCCCTCAGCATGAGTTTCAGCTCCTCCTCTGTCACGAACGGCTCCCTGTAGCACAGACATAGTGAAACATCAGACGATGCAACACACACGTGGCAATACAACAAGCACAGGCACGCACACAAGGGTGAGAGACCGTGAGTGAGATGTCTCAAACGCACACCCTCAGCATGAGCTTCAGCTCTTCCTATGCCAAGAAGGGCTTTCTGGCAAGCAGGAATGGCAATACGGCACACACAGGGGAGCATAGATGCATGCAAGCGCACAGCAAGCACAGGGCGGTGAGTGGGCGTCGCCTCACAAGCGAGCCCTTCCGTATCAGCTTCAACGTTCCTGTACCAGGAAAGCCCTCCTGGCAGACAGGCCCAGAAACGTACAGGTAGGGATGGGCAGGTGAAAGAAACAAAAGGCATGCATGCAGCCGCTGAGGCAGAGACGTCGCGAGGAGATGAACGAGACACGCGCACATGGACTGACTTGCTTGGACATGGGTGGGTGGACGTACCCGCTGGTCTTGAGGCCGAGGAGGCGGAAGAGGCCCGTGGAGGCATAGGTGCAGAGGCGACCCACGGGGTAGAGCACCACTGACAGCCACGCCACTGGGCGCAGCTGGTGAGAGGGAGGGCGGAGGGGAGGGGGATGAAGGTGTGATTACAGGGATTTCAAGGGGGCTTGCTTCAAGAGGCGACCCATGGGGTAGAGCACGACTGAAAGCTACGCCATTGGGCGCTGCTGGTGAGAAGGGGGAAGGTTTAAGAGAGATCGGCGGATGGGGGCCTGATGAGGAATCGGCAAATCGAGGAAAAGAAGAGGTGACCCGGTGATTTCGAGGCCGAGGAGGTTGAAGAGGGTCGTGGAGGCATAGGTAAAACAGCTTGGAGAGGCGAGGGAGATGGCCCAGCAACAGCGGGACTCGCAGGCCGATGGAGGGGAGAGAATGAGAAAAGTTCAACAGATGGAAGGAGAATGAGTGAGTGAAGAGAGGAGACAAGACAGTCGGGAGGGAGAGGGAGGGGACGGGGCGGGAGGCATCGGATTTTGGACGGGTGCTTTTGGGGCTTAAGCTTCCAGAACCATACCCGTTCATTACTTCCGAGCAGTTTCAGAAGGCACGCAGGCTGGGTACGAAACCCGCTGGTAGAAAGTGGCATGAAGTGGTGGAGATGCTCTCTACCACCTCATCTCCACCACCTCATGTCACTTTCTACCAGCGAGTTTCGTACTTAGCCTGCGTGTCTTCTGAAACTGTTCGAAAGTAATGGATGGGTCTGGGAGCTTAAGCCCCAAAAACACTCGTCTAAAACCCGATGCCTTGCCAACCGTGTTATGGTTGTAAGAACCCAGGGGAGGGGCAGGAGGAAGAGGGGGGGTGGGGGAGGGGGACGGGACGGGGCGGGGAGGGGCGGAAAGAGACGCGGAGTGGGGAGGGAGTGGGGGAAACAGGGCGGGAAACTGGGAGAGAGGGTATAGCGTGACAGAGATAGGGCATACCACGACACGGACGACTTGTGTGGCGTTGTGCACGGCAATGGACTTGGGAGCGATCTCCGTGAATACGAGCAGCAGGATCTGATGGGCGTGGGGGGCAGGCAGGGGGTGCAGCAATGGCGCAGGGGCCAAGAGGGAACGGTAAGGGCGACAACTGAGGCGCCTCAAACGTTGTGCACGGCGATGGACTTGGGGGCAATCTCCGTGAAGTCGAGCAGCTAGATCGGATGGAAGGGTAGGGGGGCAGTGGGATAGCAAAGGCGCAGGGGCACGGGGGCAGTCAGGGCGCACGGTGTGTGTGGATGTGGAATGGTTGAGAGGGAAGCAAGCAGGGATAAGTCGCTTTGAACCAAAGGGTGGCTTAGCATGTGGCACGGGTCAAAGCATTACGCCTGTAGCAGCAGCATGGCACGTACCGTCATCACGCCTGTAGCAGCGCTGACTCCTACCTCCCCAAAAAGGGCTGTAGCGGCATCCATGACCAGTGCCGTCGCCCAGATGAGACCTTTCAATCGACTCAAAAGACGGCTGTAGCAGCAGCACAGCACGTACCGTCATCACGCCTGTAGCAGCGCTGACACCTGCCTCCCCAAAGAGCGCTGTAGCAGCGTCTGTGACCAAAGCCGTCGCCCAGATGTTCACCAGGCTGACAAGTGAGTGAGACGAGAGAAGAGAGGAGAGAGGAGGGGACAAAATTTGCGATGAGTTGAAATGGGAAAAGCGTCCCTGAGCAAATTGCAACAATAGAAAGGACAGTGGTGGGCAAAAATGCAGGCGGGGCGTGGTGCGAGTATGCATGATGGTGGGGAAGGAAGAAGAGAGGTGCGCGTGAGCAATAGAGCGAGGGCATTACGTGGTGCCGATGAGGATGGTGGTGAGGAGGGAAGAATAGAGGTATGCATGGCCGAGAAAGGGCGTTACGTGGTGCCGATGAGGATGGTGGTGAGGAAGCGAGTCACGTCCCGCCGCAGCAGCTGGAACACGCTTCCCTCTTTCTCCTTCTCCGCCAGCTCGCGCACCTGAAGACAAATGGGAGCGGAGGGGAGGGAGCGTGGATCAGGCAAACTGGTGACGCGGAGGGGAGGGAATGTGAGTCACGCACAGAACGGCATGATCTGCGCGGCATGATCTGAGTGCTCTCACCTTCCACGACCCAGAGCGTGGTGATGGACGATTCCGAGCCCTAGAAACAACAATAATCAACCCCTTATTACAGTACCCCACCCTTCCCATCCCAGCTCCCACCTTCCACGGCCAGAGCGTGGTGATAGATGTTTCCGCCATGGAGAAGAAAGCGGAGAGGCTCAGCAGCACCGCCAGCAGCACGCCTTGCTCCCGCAGCACCTTGAGCAGCTGTATCATCGACGGCTTCGCTCCCACGCTCCATACCCGAGCCCGCTGCGTCAGGTCCGACACCAGAGCTCCGGCCGAGGCTGGAAGGATCGGCGATGCGGATACCGAGGCTGACTCCGCTGCCAGAACTGGCCGGCAGGCTAGAACGGCTGTCAGACACACTGCGGCGGAAACGACAAGGACAGCCACTCGCCTTGCGATAATACCCCATGAAACGGTCCCGTTTGGTGCTTCCACAGGCGTCGACTCTTCATCCTGCCTCCCACCAAATGTAGCGCCATCGCTGTTGCAGCTGCTGCTGTTGTTGCTACTGCTGTTATCCCTTACAGTCCCATCATCGTCACCTGACGTCGTTTCTCCTAGGGCTGAGTTTACGCATGACGTCGATTGAACACCGATTCTTGCACCCGGTTTCGAGTTTGGAATCAAACACCGCCGTCGATTTTCGAGATTCATTACACCGAATCCCAACATGCCTCTGTCTGTCTGTGGTTGCTGTAGTCCTCCCCCGACGACACGTGTCAGAGGGGAGAAATCCCCGCCACTGCATTGTCGACTGCTACAAATAAGACGGTACGATCTGGCGGATCGAGAGGATTGCGTTGAATTATCTGTCTGGATAACGATCGTGCTCGATGCAAAGCCACCTGGGATGCGATTGCAAGTAGTGCTTATCTGTTTTGAGTATCCTCCGGTCAACGAAGGGGACCCAGATGGGACTACTCCGCAAGGTCCTTTGCAGCTTGGCCGAAGGAGCATTGTGGCGACGCGCAAAACCACTAGCGGTTACAATACTATATCGCGGATGCCGTAATCATCAAACGTGTTTGCTAATCTTCGTCATTTCCGCGATATGCCGAACGCCGCGGTGAGAGTACGGGGTCGTTGACTAGGACACACGGTACTTCTATACCCGGAAATCACGCCAAAAACGCATGTTCTAGTCTCATATGCATTCCTGGTCAGCCAGAGATGGATCGATCGACATTGCACTTGCAACAACCACGCGAGAAGAAGAGAAACGCAGTAGCTTCACAGCAGACGATCAGAATCTCCTAAATCGAGGCGGAGGCTTGAAGAGTTATGGTCTGACGGGCAACGCAGACGAGAAAAGCACTAAGATCAAGAGCAAGAGAGCACAGACAGGGAATGGCGGGAGAGGGGTGAGCTAGAGGGAAGAAAGAGAAAGGTGACAATGTCGAGGGAAGGTGGGGCCAAGTTAGGCGGCGGCAAAAAAGGTGTGTGCCGTGTTGTGTCTGGAGGATGGACGACACGAAGAGCTCGCTGATTGGCTGTGCGGTGATGGTCTAAAGAGACCGCCTGCTGACGTGTCTTGGCAGATCCCAAGGTGAGCGGCTTTGCGCTTTTCGCTGTCGGGGCGTTCACAAAATGGAGGGAATCTTTACACACGTGGTTGTCCTCGATGTTGCCCATAGATTCTTCATTTCATAAGAAATAACCAGTACACTAACCATCAGGCAACCAAACGCCACTTATTTTATTAATGTTTCACGAACAGGCATTACCAACCCTCGCCATCATAAAGCTCGCCCAAGCTATCAAAAACACTCGATGAAGGGCTCATGGAGTGCAAAAGGTCTACCAAATCCTTGCACGACTGCTGTCCTGAGCTTCCAATTGAATCTGTGGATCCACAAGTCGCCAAAAAAACATCCGGAGAACATTCACCTACATCAACTGGCGCCTTGCAAAAATCTTGGAAGCTCTTCAAAGGTCCGCATAAAGGATGTGCGGCAACTTGAATTGCTCCGCACGCATCTTCACAAATCACAAGAAGCTGCTGGCTTGTAGTCGTAATTTGTTCGTCAGCCACCGCAGCAGCCTGTAGAGTGTCACTGGAATTCTGGCATAGGAACAGAGAAGGCGCTTCAATCTCCCCCGAAGAATTCATACACTGCTCCAAGGCGAGCAGTTGACTGGCATCGGGCCATGAATCACTGGCCCACACGAGCGAATCCCCTAGCAGCTCTGCTCCTGCGTCACCAGACTCCTCCCAGTTCACCAGGTGCGATTCAGCAGCAGCAGCAAGAGCAGCAGCAGCAGCAGCTACACCACCACGGCTCATTTCCTGAGAGAAATCTGTGTTGTCCGGCTCTTCAGACGTCCCAAGACTCTGCTGGGGGCAATTTGTGGGATTCTGGAAGGCCAACATCAGGGGAGCGGCTGGCAAGGGGCAGTCTGGGTCCTCCGAGCCTGGTAGCTCCTCCTGCTGATCATGCTGCTGCTGCTGCTGTGGCGTGCATTCAGCCGGAACAGATTCAGATCCTTCTGCCAGTGCTGACTGCACCAGCAGCGCCAGCGCTGCGAGAAGCTCAGCCGGCAATGGGTGCGTGTGGGTCTGCGAGGACGCACCATCGCCCATATGGCTCCCTGAGGGAGACACTGCAGCAGGCAGCGGCACAGGAACAGGCTTAGCAATAACAGGAGGTGGAGCAGGAGCAGGAGCAGGAGCGGCAGCAGGCACAGGCGACCCAATCAGCAGTGCTGCCAGTGCAGCCCGCCAGTCCGCAACAGCCGAGGCGGGAGCATGCCGGGACGAGGATGATGCACTGGAGGCTGGGCGGGAGAGCGCGGAGAAGCCGGACGGAGCCCCACACTTGCCGCAGCTGACGGGGCTGGAAGCAAGGGCTGGCAGGCACGATGGCGAACCAGCAGGGGAACACCCATTTGCCTCGGTTGCTTCCTCCTTGACAGCCGCCCGCTTGCTCGTTGGGCTGCTGTTGACACCATCCGCAGTAGCAGTAGCAGCGGCAGCAGAACCCTTCGCTCGGACTGAGCGGTCGTTAACTGATCGATCCTTCGGCAGAGGCGCAGGAGAGGAAGCGGGAGCAGCAGCGCCAGCGGCGTGGTAGTGAGGTGGGTGGTTGTGCGTGCAGTGGTAGTTGAGCATCAGAGGAGCGGTCGGGTCGCAGCAGCTGAGGTCCACTGTGCGGCGTGCGGGGCAGGCGTGGGACGTGCGCAGGCCGCACTGGAAGTAGAGCCTGCAGGCAGCATGGGTGGGAGGGGAGGGAGAGAGAGCAGCGCAGGAATAGTAGGGAAAGTCAAGGGGTGAGTTTTTTAATGCGTGAGGGTGTTTGAGTTAGAGTGGACTGAAAGACAGGCGGCAAGAGACCGACTAAAAGGGCCCACGTTACCCCCATCCGTTCCCCCGGCTTCCCAATTTAGATCAGATCCCTACCTCATCATGTTTTCGCCCGTGGTAAGTTTCTTCTGCCCGTACTTGACCCAGCTGAACCCGTCGCGAGGCAACAGCGGCTTGTACGGGTATTGCACCATGCGCACTTTCTTCCCGTGCCTCCCTCCGCCGCTGCCGCCATTCTGCTGCTGCCGCAGCCGATCGCCACCGCCACACCCAGGCCGATTCTCAGGTGTCTCAGGCCGATTCTCAGGTGTCTCGGGCCGATTCTCAGGTGTCTCGGGCCGATTCTCAGGTGTCTCAGGCCGACTTTCAGGTGTCTCCGGCCTTGTTGTGAAACTCAGGCGCTGATTCTCCTGAAATTCTGAGCCGTGTCTCCTCTGGTGAAGCTGAGAGCCGGGCCATGGGGAGTCCATGATGCTCTGGTTCGGCTGATCGTGATTTCCGCGTGCCTGCAGGCTCGCAGGCGCATCATGCGGATTAAAATCTCGATCTTGCCAGTGTGTGTCCGAGTCGCCCCTGAAGCTCGGGATTCGCAGAATCTGAGTCTGGAGGCAAGGCGATCTGCGCGGAACAAGGAATAATGCAGTGGGACGCAGGAATGTTGTGGAAATCAGAGGGTTGATAAGACTTTTCGGACACGAGCTGTGTAAAAAAAAAATGCGCGACGCCCGTTCTACACGCCGCTGACCTGTTACGAGCCCACTAAGGTGAAAATTTTTCTAGGGCTAGTGAACCTACTAGGGCTAGTGAACCTAACGCAATCGTTTCTGCTGAATCAACTCGTCTCTCCTCCTCCCTTTGATCCCGTTCCTTCTCTCTCCCCATTCATTTACCAAACAGTGCATTACCTCTCGGAAAAAGTAATCCTGGCGTGTCCTGCGCCGCGTTTCGCGGCGCTTGAAGGTTCCCCGAGTCGCAGCTCATCCTGATCTCGCGATCGCTTGCGCGCCGCACGGAAAGCGTCGTTTCGGCAGTGCGCCATGCTCCCTAAGTCGTGACGGAGCCACTACGAGGAGAAAAAACGTCGGATTCGAGGATAGATCGCACAGCGGTAGACACCGTCAAGCGGCGCTTCAGCGTATTTCTACCTGACAATCTATCGCGGGTCTGATGTGATTCGACCAGAGGAGTTCTAGCTCTGGAATGTTCATAAACAGGCCGCGAAGTAAGGCCATGCATTGGACGGAACGGAACAATCGCACCTACTATTGGAGGGGCGGATTTGTCCCGCCCATCGTACGGCGGAGGATTCATCACCGTGTCGCCTTTGATCGTGTACAGTAAAACGACGAAGATGAGGCTTGTTCTACAAGCAGACACGCGATCTGATGCTATCTGATCGGATATCATATTCTCTACTGCCGTAACGCGCAGGGTTGCTCCGACGCGGCTGCGCCTCCGCGTTATGAAAGGATTCAGTTTCTGTTCGCTACGAACAGCAGCAATCCATTCCCCCAACTGCTTCGAACGAAGGAGCAGAACATGGATGTGTGACGGGAAACAAAGCTGACGTGGACATGGATAGCTCCGCTGACGCCGCCCCTCGACCACTCGTTTCATGCCCTCATATCCACAGATTCTGCAACGAAGGCTCGCTTGCTGCTTCTATGGAGAGCGGCACAGTAAATGCTGCTGCTCACGTGCATGATATCTACGACACCTAATCACGAGGTCCACGTTAACTCTGAAAGGGACTTGTAGGGTGGCACACCCGGTAAATGATGGGCACTTGATGTACACATGATGCTCGTTTGACTAACCCGAGGTTGCCTTGTGAAGGGGGCTTGTAAATGATTTCAAAAATTTCGCCAGTTCGCAGCTAGCAAATATGGATTCGTCAGGTGCTTATAAGGGCTCATATGAAAATTTGTAACATTTTGACTTCAGTCTCTTCGGTCAAACTTCAGTTTCTGTGGTTCGTATTGGTTAATATCACTGCAACTTGCTCGGCGCGCTTATAACGTGGGGGCAACTGGCTGGTACAAAAACCACGGGTGCAAGGTTTCCGCCCGGCGCAGGGCAAATTCGCGTGCAGGGTGTGAGCATCATGTGTACCGTCCAATCCGAACGTTTCATTACAGCGAGTTGCAAAAACTGGATCCGAGCGAGGCACCCATGGAAACTAGTTGAGTGGAAATGCAAGACAGGAAACGCCTTTGTCGCCATGGCTCGGTGAGGAGAGTAAACAGTGAAAGTTCGGTTGGGCTGGTTAGCTAGAAACAAGCTCGTTCAGTTTGAGGACAACCATCTGGTCCCAAGATACACCTAGCCCTCGGCAATTTCACGCCCCCATCGAGGGGGTCAATCCTGTCTGTAGCGGAGGGGGGGTGAAATTGGCCGTAACATTTGTGTAGGGGGGTTTGTAGGGGGCGCCCCTGTCCAGCACCCAACCCAACCTCACTGACCCACGTAACGACAAGGGGGGGGGGGGGGGGGGGGGGGTGGGAATTGGCTCTCCTGAATTTGGCGCGGGCTAGGTGTAATGATAATCGCTGAATACCGTGTTGTACCGTAAATGTAGCCTTTTTGAACCTTTCAAACCATTGCAGACAGTTTCGATGCTGAACAATGTATTGACAACAAATCACGCAGGGCTGTATTGTACCGTACCGCACTGAGCCGTGAAGTTCCTGGCACAGAACCGACCAGACTGCAACAGGTGCAACCATTTTAGGGCGGCTCGTTCCTAAAAATCATGTGGTCAGGGTAAGAAGTTGACTCTCTTTCGCCATTTTCAGGACTATGTTGTTTCCACTAGGAAGACTACCTAGCTGCACGGCTCATTTGGTCCTCGCTTAAGCATTTGATCCAATCTCTTACCCAAGAGCAGGGAAATAGATGCCCGACCCAACTATTGGTCGCAATCCCCCAACCCGACCATGAATCTCCACACGTTGCCAGCAATTGGCTAAGCCCAAAACTCCACAATACACAAGATGCCCAACCCCTGCACGCGAATTTGCCCTGCCCGCGATGGAAACTCTGCACCCGTGTATTAGGGTACCAGCCAGTTGCACCCCATTTACAAGCACCTCGAGCAATACGAACCACAAAAACCGAAGTTTGACAGAAGAGACCCATGTCAAACGGTCAACAGCGAGTTACAAAATCTTTTAAAAGCCCTTTTTGCTAAGTGCGAATTGACGAAAGCTTAGCGAAATGCAAGAATCACTTAAGAGCCCTCTTCACAAGGCAACCTTGGGTTAGTCAAACGGGCATCGTGTGTAGCGTGTTTGCGGATAGTAGTGTAACTCGCTACCAACACCCATACCACATACGAGTGTCATGCAGTCTAGTCTATCAAAACATACATAACCTAATTCAGGTGGGCAACAAAACCTACATCCACATGCCCTCGAATTGCAGAACGCATTTCGGGCTTCCTAACAAATGACTTCCTAACAAGTGTGGTCGTCGTTGAGCCAATGACGTTGGAGTCAGCAGCTCTGTGATTGGAGATTCGCAGTCGTAGAACAGTCGCAAGGCAGTCGCTTGTTAGGAAGTTGCTTGTTTTGAAGTGCCTGAAATGCGACCTAAGAGCATGATATTTACCATACCTTTGAATGTCAGTGTACTATAGGCTGGACTAAAATCACGGGCTCAGTCGGGGGAGGGGGGGAAGGGAAGAGGGTGAACATTGGTAAATTGTCTAGAAGATGTTGCTTATGCAGTGCTTTTGGACAAACGCGCCTTCTGACAGTTGTGTTGCCTTGTGCAGGCCCGTAATGGGATCTTTTTATAATGCTCAGGAGCCAAATCACTACATGTCGCTGAGAGAGCGAGGACGCATGGCCACTTGTATAGCCCCGGAACTATCCTCACATATCACCATATGCTGTGCCTCATTCGATCCTGTCGGGATTGTGGCCCAGGTGAAACCAGTGTCACATGTCGCTGGGGGAGCGAGGGCGCATGGCCACTTGTATAGCCCCAGAGCTATCCTCACATATCACCATATGCTGTGCCTCATCTGATCCTGTCGGGATTGTGGCCCAGGTGAAACCAGTGTCACATGTCGCTGGGGGAGCGAGGGCGCATAGCCACTTGTATAGCCCCAGAGCTATCCTCACATATCACCATATGCTGTGCCTCATCCGACCCTGTCGGGAGTGTGGCCCAGGTGAAACCAGTGTCACCAGCACCAGCCGAACCTGCAGCACCGGCACTGCCAAGTGCAGCATCAGAAGTTTCCACTGCTGCCACAGCCGCCGCCGCCGCAGCAGCAGCAGCAGCAGCAGCAGCATCTCGCTTTCCAGCTGATCTCGCTCCAAATCCATACTCAGGAAAACCATCGGCAGCAGCAGCAGCAGCAGCAGAAGCGGAGGCAGAAGCGGCTGAGACAGCAGCAAAGAGATCCAGGCCCACCTCTAACTGCTGGTCTGGTGAGAGAACCAGGTGAGGGGAGGAGCCCTGCTGCGGGGTGGGACCGGGGGAGGTTGTATTTGCGCCCGGGGCGGATTCAGGGGCGGTTCTGCTTGTTGGAAAGACGGCGGCCTGGCCAGGATTTGGAATTCCCTGTGTTGCCCCCGCAAAGATATTATTCGGTGCATCGTCAGCAACCAGCACCACAGCTGCTGACGCGGACAGGCTCTTGCTGATGTGGCGGGCCGGCGAGCCAATCACAGGGCTCGACAACACATCTCCTGCTCTTTTCAAAAACACCGAGCTGTCTCGCCCCAGCGATGCACCGCCGACCACAAAAACATCACTGTGCTGCTGATAATCGTTCCGCGCTTGGCTGATTAGCTGCGCCTGCGCAAGCAGAATCTTCTGCGCTAGCAGCGAGTCCTCTAGGTTCTCTCTCTGGAACGACCTCTCAGTGGGGTCCTGATGGGGAACTGTGGACTCATGGGGATCACGCTGCGTGCCCTGCGCATGTGAGCCAAGCTGGTCGCTCTGCTGATTCGTGCTTTGCAGGTTCAGGTGTTGCGAGTTGAAATCGAGGTCTGCAACAAGCTGCATGTCGTCTAGCGGAAACGAGTCTAGAGTGCTCCAAGGCAGTTCCACCCCTGCCTCCTGCCCATTCTCCCCTCCCCCCCCCTGCTCCTGCTGCTGCCCTGCTAACTCATCAAGTTGCTCTTGCATAAGGCCCCAGTCATCAGGGATGAGTGATTGCCACGGTTGTAGCTCGTGCCGCTGCTCCTCCGCTTCCTGTGCTCCCCCTCCCTCCTCTTCTCCATCCTCTCCTAGTGCATTCCCGCCCCCCGCCTGTTCTGATCTCTGTTCCTGCTTCAGCTGCTGCTGAGCCTGCGCTATTAACTCCTGTACATTAACCTCCTCCCCTTGCTGCTGCTGCTGCTGCTGCCCCTGCTGCTGTTGCTGCTGCTGCTGCCGCTGCTGCCGCTGCTGCTGCTGCCACTGCTGTGTCAAATCGTCATTCAAAAACGCCTGCGCCAAAGCGTCATACCCCATACCCTCCATACCCTGCCCTCCGCCCGCACTAATCAAGAAATCCCCGCTCGCAGCAGCAGCAGACGTGGCGAAGCGGGGGGAGAAGAGCGCTGGACTCGCGGAGGCGGAGGCGGAGGAATGGCTGTGCGCGGATCGGGGGGAGATGGGGGGAGGGGACGACGTGACATGTGACGTGTGTGAGGAGGACGTGAGGTTCCGCGTGAACAAGGTGTTGAGTGCGGTTCCGAGCTTGTGAGCCATCCCCTCGTCCTTCCCCAGCAACCCCCCTCCCTGCGCCTGTGCGTTATACACCTGCGGTGCTAATCCGAGGTGATTCGGAGTGGCAAATCCGGAGTGCGGGGGGGAGATTAGGCCCGAGGGCGGGGGGGAGACGAGTCCGCCAGAGGGACGCGGGGAAGCAGGGCGGGTGCTGCTCGGTGAGGTGCGGTTGGGGGAGAGAGACGCCATTTGAAGCATCGCTATCGCTTCTGCTAGCGACGGGGGCGGCGGCGCGGAGTGCATGAGCGGGGGGGAGGGGCTAGACGTGGGCTCTGTCACGCTCCGGGGGAGGGTTGGGCGGGAAATGGGGAAGTCATGCGCGGATGCGGGGGGGGAGGGGAAGGCGGTGGGGGAGAGGGGGAAGTCTTGGGAAGATGCGCGGGGGGAGGCGAAGGAGGGGGAGTGGGAGGTGGTAGCTTGGCAGTGGAGGTTTGAGAGAGCAGCGAGTGTGGCCGCATGGGAGGAGAAAATGGACAGATTGGCGTTTGCTGCGGTGGGGGAGCCGGGGAGCGGAGAGAGGTACGGGGACTTCGGGGAAGGGATGGGAGAGAGCGGGCGCGGGGGCGTGAAGTGCGGGGATGAGTAGGGGGTGAGCACAGGGGAGAGGGAGGTGGGGGAGGAGGAGAAGAGGGGGGAGGAGCACACGGGCTGATCGGACGGGGTCCAGCGGGGGAGCACGGAGGAGGGGGGTGTTTCGTATTGAAATGAGTGCAATAGCTCTTCCTGCATCGAGAAATCGAAGCTTCCTGACGCCTTCGCCAGGGATCCCTTCTGCGGCGCTGCTGCGCCAATCTCTCGCATTCCGCCGCCCTCCCGGCCTCCGCCTCCCCCTCCGCCCCCACTCCCCCCTTCTCCGCCTTCGCCTCCTGTTCCGCCTAACCCCACCATCGCATCCGCGCCCGCAAGAATCCCGCCAATCCCGCCTACGCCTCCGCCGACAAGCGCACCCGGCGCTTGCGCAGGTGGCGACGATAGCTGACTTGCGAATGCCATCAGCGAGTCCGCACCAAGCGCGGAACGCGGGGCGAGAGGCGCGATGTCCGCCATTAACGAAGTCGGCGGGTTGTTGGCAGCAGAGCTCAGACCTGCTGCCGCTGCCGCCGCCATTGCCGCTCCTGCCTGTGCTCCTGCCGCCCGCCGCTGCCATAGGGACGGTTGAGCTGCGCTGCTGCTTCCGCCGGCAATACCGCCCTCGCCGCCCCCTCGACTGCTGCTGCCGCTAGCAATGCTAGGTAACTGTTGCCCCATCTCCTGCCGGCCCAGGCTCTGTAGTAGCTTGCTGACCTGGAGCGCGCTGACGTGGCCGCCGCCGCTGCTGCTGCCAGTCCTCTGCTGATGAACCCGACTCGCAGCCGCCTTGCGAATCGCTTCATCTAGGGTTTGTCGTAACGCAGCGTAATCATTACCATCGCCGGCCGTTAGCATGCGCAGCGCGTCTAACCCGCCGTCGTTCGCGCTTGCGCTAATTATTCCGTCCTTCAACAACGAATCCGCATCACCACTCTCCATAAGCGCCCCACCCATCGCGGCGCCTCGAATGTGCCCGTCGCTAATGCCGAGGGTAAACTGCCGCCCGGATGATACAGGCTGTAGCAAAATCTCCGCGCTGCTGCTGGCGCCGCGCTGCTGATGCGGAGCGGGGGAGCTGCTGGCGCTGCGGAGGTGCGGGCGATGGTTGTGGTCGTTGATGTACTCGATTTTGAGCGGCGCCTTGCTGTCCGCCTTGCTCATGTTGACGATGCGCTTAGCGGGACAGCGCGCGTCCGTGTTTCGGAGCATGCAGTGGAAATAGTGTCTGGCGAGAGAATAAGAGGAGATTACGGGAATATTAGCGACGGGAGGAGAAAATAAGTAAGACGGGGGTGCGGAGAGGAAGGGGCAAGGTGCATGATGAAGCGAATTTGCAATGGCAGGTTACAGCGTCGCCATACGAAAATCAGTTGCGTCGATTATGGCGGCTCAAATCCGCTTCATTTAGCGTTTCACCCGATACAGCCGTTGCTGTCTTACCTCATGCCGCGCAGCCCGCCGGGACAACTAGAGTACCTCATTTGCAACCCACCGGATAGTTGTCTTACCTCATGTGTAGCCCGCCGGATAGCTGTTTTTGGCCGTATTTGACCCAGTTGTAGCCGTCGCGAGGCAGCAGGTGTTTGTACGGAAACGGCTGCTTCCGTCGCGGCCGTCTGAAGCAGATAGCGGTAAAAGGATAGGGGATGGGCGAGAGAGGGGCGAGGAAGAGATGAACAAAAAGGCAAGGTTTCACAGGAAAGGTGAGGGAAGACACTGGGTGCGAGAAAAGCATTTACAAGTAAGACATTTGAAATGATAAATAATCCGTCGGAATGAGCACCTTGGAGCATTCAGATGTGATAGAGCATGTATGAAAACCTTGGTGAATGTGCGAGAGCACCTTGGTAAAACTATATGAAAACCCTATTCTTCCTTGTGAACCATTTCACTGAGACCATGAAGACCTACTTTGCGACTGTCCCGTCCTTTTCCTTCGACGATCCCCCGTTATCGTTCGTCGGGCTTGTTGTCGTGGCGGCCTGACGAAGAGCGGGAAATTCGTCTGGCTCGTCATTTTCACCCGTCGCGTCGCGATTTATGCCGCTCTGATCCATGTCTTCCAGCCCCGAAGCGTCAATCGCTTCGGCCGCGTCGGAATGCGTGCGATCTTCCGTGCAATCAGCAGTAGATCCAGGGGAGCGCATAGCTGAGGCCTAAAAATCTAAAATCGTCGAGGATAACTCCTTAATGAATACGTTTCAGTCGTGCGAGGATTTGTCCTAACGATTGAACAGGCTAAAGACGAACGAACATTATGAACGAAGGAGAAAATGGAGTTCGAACAGCGAGAGCAGCAAGACTTGTTCGAAATGAAGTGGACGAGACGACAATGAACTTTCAAGGGACCTTGAGCTTGGGCTCTCGTCTCGTCTCTCACTCACACCGCGACATTCGCTTTGAAGTATGCACGTGACAGCTTCTCCAAACCAACCACTTTGTTTTCCCACCATAAATTGAGGTTCTGACTGCCTCACTGGTTCGGACGATGCTGGTCTGGGATCCCCTTAGAAATGGTCCCTAGAATTCTTCCTTCTTGGTCTGGGAACATCCAATTTGCTGCTCCCCACGCAAGAAGCATGGTTTGAACAATTCCTGAGCAGACCTGCTTTTTGTCACAGCCGAAAATCAAATTGAATTCGATGCCCCTTGCTTGCTTTGGGATTGCCAAACCATGCCAGTTGCTTGATACAAGCTGCAGCGCTGCCCTGACTGCGCTGCAGTGGTCCCAGCTTTGGCCGGCTTTGGCCTGACGTCATCCTGCGGGACGCGGTTTCAGATTTGGTTTTCTTGGGACCAAATCTCGGTATGCAGTGCTAATTTCAAACCCCCAGTGACCCAAATAATTGTTCATTACGGAAAACTTTGCGCTAAGTAGCATGGCACATGGCACGCACCTGTATTGGTCGAGGTCTGGCTCTCTGAGTGACCGTGTTTTGAGTCGACTCAAACCAAAGCATGGCACATGGCACATGGCACATGGCACATGGCACGCACCTGTACTGGTCGAGGTCAGGCTCTCTGAGAGACTCCCTCAGCAGCACTCCCTCCGTCATGTACTGGTGTGGGTTGGGGAGAGGGAAGACGATCAGATGAGAGATAAGGAAAGAGATGTCCATCGTTATTCCCGAAGCCCAGCTCATTACCAAACACCATTTGCAACCTCCACATCTGCAACAACTCGAGGAAGAAACACCAGCTTATGTAAGCTCGACCGATATTCCATGCTAACACTCTTGAGGGTGGCACTGAAACGAAATATCGTGCTTGACCTTACCTGGGGTGTCGTGGCAACAAGGTTTTTGTTATCGATGTGTTAAGCACGATGCGTGAATCATAACCGATGATACTGGCCCCAATACGTGTAGAGTATACCTCTGTTCGCACGCGTATGTAGACCTGGAGAATCTTCATTCGTTTCTGTACACTCCACACAGTTCGCTAGACCTACACTACACACAATGCCCGGTTGAGCCCCCCGACCTTGCCTCTCTCTCTGGGCTTTTAAGTGATTTTGGATATCGTCTGGATTTGTAAAAATGGGCAGATGGAGAATTGTAACTAAGCGTTGACAATTTGACCCCGGTCTCTTCTGTTTAGGGTGCTTGTAGATGGGGTGCAACTGGCTGGCACAAAATACACGGGTGCAGGGTTTCCATCCCGCGCAAGGCAAATTCGCGTGCACTGGTTGGGCATCGTGTGTACCACAGCACAACGGGTACAACGTCGACCACACTTTGAAGAGAGGGGTTCAGTCAGTCACACTCGCAACATTTAACTACTACCTCGAATACATACACGTACACGTAAGTGTACACGGTTTTAAGTGTCTGAGTAAGCTGGTGTTACTTGGGTGTACAGCTTGCTCGCCCCGAAGGGTTCGCGTGGGAGGGATCAATGAGAATGGCATAGGATCCTGGGGTGATGTGGATGGAAGCTGCCAGCCAGAAGGTCAGGCAAGAACAGACAAACGTACTCAAAACCACCCATGTGGAGGATGGATATTAGGGACGAGGAGGCATGGCTGGAATGATGGGAAGTGGGGGTGGTGAGGAGATGGCGGGATTCGTCTGTTTGCAGTGTGAGTGAGTGTGTGTTCACGACGCTAGGTGAACCTCGTCCTAATACTGTTTCAGTTTTCGCGCTAGAGTGGTTTCAGTTTTACCACCTGAAGGACTAATTTCCTTGTGAGCACTTGGGTACTATCAGTCATATGTACAAGCAACACTACAATCTTAAATGTTTTACGGTGATCATGAGTGTTTCACGGTGATGAGAGTGAGAGTACAACGCTACTATCAGTGATATATACAAGCAAAACTACAACAATCCTCTCCTCCCACCTCACCCATGGTGGCTTGAAAAAAGTCCCTCACTCCAAAGCAGCGCATCTGCTGAGCTTCTACATGACATATAACTCGTCCTACGTCAGGTGGTATCGTACGAACCGTACTCTCTAGGTGCAAGACCCTTCTATGGTAAAGTTCCCGGGTCCTCGTTCTTGAGAAATGGCCTTTTATTCCAGCCTGTCGCCACAAGCACCCACCCTTTCCATTCGCATATTTTGAGGGGAGTAAAGAAAACGGAATGAACAAATCTCATCGCCTGAGGCGCTTCGGAACATATGGCCTCAGCTCAGAAGCATGCAAGTCAGAAGCTTGCAAGGCAGAAACTGAATCAGTAGAGACCACTACAGGGACCTGCAACGTATGGCCTGCTGCAAGGCATGATGTGCCTTCAGTGTGTGCTGCTACAGGCACCTCCTTGTGTGAAGCAACAGACACTGAAGGCACATGATGCCCGTTAGAGGGCTGTGACGACGGCAAGGAGTGGTGTGCATGTGGCATCATCAGTCGGACCACTGCTCCTCCAGCCCCTGCAGATTGCATTGAAGTCCCATCAAACGAACCCGCTGCAGCCACCTGCCGTTGTGAAGCAACAGGCACAGACAGCCCACGATGGCTCTCAGAGGGCTGTGACGGCAAGGAGTGATTCGCATGTGGCATGACTGCTCCTCCAGTCCTTGTTGCTCCACCAATCCCTGTTGAGGACTGCTCAGCCCAGTGTTTGCCTTTCTTTGCTTCATCCTCATCCCTTCCTCCCCTCGCTCCCTCTTGCCGCTGCTCTTCCCATTGGTTGCGCTGCTTCTCCTCCCCTCCTCTCTGCCACCTCTCCTGCCGAACTCTCCCCCTCTGCACTCGCCTTTCTGCCTCAAACTCCCGCCTGCTCGCCTGCCGAGGGCCGCTCTGCCACACCCGCCCAAAGCTCGGAAGCCACATGGACACGTTTGATTGGTCGATTTTACTGCGCTGTCCGCCCACACTAACAGCAGGAGGGGCAGCAGCAGCAGCAGCAGCAGCACCAGAAGCCATAGCAGTGGGAGCAGAAGCAGCTTCAGGTGAACCAGCTGAAGATGTACCGAGAACTTCAGCACCCCCACCTCTAGTCGGGGGACCAGCAGGGGCAAACCGCAGAGAAGCAGCAGCAGCAGCGGCGGCATTCCGAGCCGCTTCCGCTGCTTTTATTTCTGCCCGGCGCTGCTCTGCCCAGGCTGCCCCGACGCGTTGTTCCCGGAACTTCCAGATTTTGCTGTTGGTGATTGGTGGGCAGAGGATTGGGCAGAAGGAGGCTGGGACCAGGGAAAGGCCCTCCGGAGGTATTAAGGGGTTAACCAGCGGTACAGTTGTGTTCGGTGAAGTGATAATGGGTTTGGCAGTGGTAGTGGTGGGGGTGGGAGGGTAGCGGGTGCTGGTGTGTGGGAGGGGACTGAGGGGCTTGCAGGAGGGTTGATGCGATGGGGCGACTGAGGAGACCGGGGGAGCAGGAGAAATTGTGGGAGACGGCATAGCAACTGCAGCAGCAGCAGCAGCAGCAGCAGCAGCAGCAGCAGCAGCAGCAGCAGCAGCGGCAGCGGCAGCGGCAGCGGCAGGCGGCGGCAGGGGGCAGCACGAATGCCCGCCAGATCTCCTTGGTCACTAAACCGACTTGGCTGCTCCCCTTCTGCTTCTTGGCTCGACGCATGGCGGCACAACCGCCAGCACCCCCGGCATCAGCAGCTGCAGGCACAGTCGATCCAGTGCTACCAGCAGCAGAGGCATCTGCCGTGGATGACGCGTGAGCAGGAGCAGCAGAGGCAACCGCAGCAGCGGCAGCAGCAGCAAGGCGGGCGGCGAGGGCGGCAGCGCGAGCAGCCGTATCAGCAGCCACGACACCCCTGCCGCTGCAGTTTGCCGCCCAAAACGCCCTCACTGACGTCATGTGGTCCCCGCTGCTGACGTGGCGCACCCACTGCTTCCTACCACGCATACCACGCACGGCGGGGGGGACAGAGAGTGCGAACCCACGTACGCGTTACAGCGAGAGCACAAGACCTCTCACTAGCAAGCACGCGGAAGGGGCGAATGAGGTGAGGTCACGTAGTAGAAGCTTTTCGGATGGGAATCCGGCTGGGTAATAACTGACGTTTTCGGATGGGAATCCGGATGGGTATAGCTGGGGAGGAGCGGCGGACGAGGTAGCAGCCATGGTCGCGACGGGAGTGAGGAGGGGGAAAGGAGGCGAAACTTCTGAGAGGTTGCTCACCATCCGCCGATCACGCTAGCCTCTGCCACGTCAGCGTCGCAAAACCGGCACCAACGGCTCCGCTTCCGGCTCTCCTCACACGCGACACCCGCGCCGCCATCACCGCCGCCATTAATAATCGCTCTATTGGTTCCGTCGTCGCCGCGCGTTCCCGACAGAGACTCGGCGGGTCGCCGATCGCGGCGCTCCTCGCAGCTGTGGGCACCATTCTTCCTCTCGGCCGCGCCGCCGTGCGCGGCCCTCCCCGCCGCTATCGGCGCGCTTTGCTCTTGCGTGGAGGCTAACGATCGTCTGTGCGACTCCAGCCACGTCGCCAGGGCGGCCGTGCGACGAAGCTCCTTGTCGAGAAGCGTCGCGAGCGCCGTGGTGTGTCGCTTGGTGTAGACGTGCGATCGGCCCTGATCGTGCGACAGCCGGCACACGCCGCACGAGGCGAAATCCTTCATTGGCGGAACGCGCCCAATGTTCAAAGCGGATGTGCAAAAATGGGTCATCTCACGGAAGTGCATGGCGGATGAGTTGTTAATTTTACTATGTTTTTTTCGTCTTTCCCCTGACGTGACGGTTTGGCCGAGTGGTCTAAGGCGTTGGATTTAGGCTCCAATCTCGAAAGAGGCGTGGGTTCAAATCCCACAGCCGTCACTGCCCCTGCCATTTTTTCGCTCGTCTCCTCTTTTTCTACCTCATTATCTCTTTTTCTCTTTTGTGCCGTGCGGCCTGCCTCCATTCGTCCCGACATTGTCGTGTTTACCCGCTTCGCGCTCGCCTCGTCTCCGCGCATACCGGCGGATTCCTTCTCACCTTCGACCTCGCGCCTCTCCTTCGCGCGTCGCCACCTTGCGCTCGCTCTCCCTTCCGCGCCCGCTCCCTCGCGCTTCCCCGCTCTCCCCCGCCCTCCCCTCGACGATGGCGTGGCGCGCCGAGCCGTGCATTATGGGGATCGACGAGGCGGGCCGAGGCCCCGTACTCGGTAATGCCTCGCCCCGTTATCCGTCGTAGTGTGCTCCGTTTTCGACCTACACCCGCGGAAATGCCTTACGCCGTCCGCGGAGATTCATTTCCGCCACTGGCGGAAAGCATGGGCTAGTACGACAGCGAGCCAGGCGCCGCTGATCGCATCGTGATTGCCTCTCCCCCGTCTTTCTCCGCTCCTCTGTGTGCGCAGGTCCCATGGTGTATGCAGTTGCGTTCTGTGCTGCCAGTAGCAGGTCGATTCAAAGGGCCCCCTGCTCCCCCCTCTCCCCCATCACTTCGCTCCCCTCTCTCTCCTCTTCTGTGCGTGCAGGTCCCATGGTGTATGCAGTTGCGTTCTGTGCTGCCAGCAGCAGGTCGACTCAGAGGGCCCCCTTCTTCCCCCTCCATCTCCTCCCTCTCTTCTCCCCCCTCACTTCCCCTCTGCCGTGTGTGCAGGCCCCATGTATGCGCCTGCTTACTGTGCTGCCAGCAGCTGACATGTGGGGTCGATTCAAAGGCCCCCCTGCTCCCCCCTCTCCCCCATCACTTCGCTCCCCCCTCTCTCCTCTTCTGTGTGCGCAGGCCCCATGGTGTATGCGGTTGCGTTCTGTGCTGCCAGCAGCAAGGAGCGAGTGGCGCGAATGGGCTTTGCTGGTGGGTGGGTGTTGGTTTTGGTGCGAGTTGGTGGGCTCTGGTGGGTTCTGGTGGGCTCTGGTGGGTTCTGGTGGGTGCTGGTGGGTGCGGTGGGTGCTTTGAGCACAGGGATGTTTTGGTGGGAGAGAGAGAGGAGTGGGGCGAGAGGGGAGACTGGGATAGAGTCAGGGCGTTAGTATCCAGGGGCATGGCATTAGAGTCGTAATGAAGCCGAGTGGGATTCGGTAGAATGTTCTTATATCGACCTTCTTGTAGTGAGGCTTTCCCTTCGCAATTACAGCCTCCCCTCTTCCGCCTCCCCCTTCCTCTTTCCGCCTCTCCTCCATTCCGCCTCTCTTCTCTTCCCCCCCTCTCTCTCCCCCTTCTTCGCGTTGCAGACTCCAAGACCCTCACAGAGGCCAGGCGGGAGCAGCTGTTCTGAGCCATTGGGGGGGGGGGGGGAAATTGCACACACGGCTACTGCTGAACCTCCTTCCTCTTCTGCCTCTTTCCCACCCTCCTCTCCCCATCCTCCTCCCCCTCCCACGCCAGACTCCAAGACCCTCACAGAGGCCAGGCGGGAGCAGCTATTCCAAGCCATGGGGGCTGTTGGCGCATCCACTGCTGCTTCAGCACACCCCACCGCTGCTTCTGAACCTCCCTCTTCTGCCTTATCCCCTTTCCTCCTTCACCGCGCCAGACTCCAAGACCCTCACAGAGGCCAGGCGGGAGCAGCTGTTCCGAGCCATGGGGGGTCCGGCACACCCTGCTGCACCTAGCGGGAATGGTGGTGGTGGTGATGGGAACGGTGGGAATGGGAATGGGAAGGCTACAAATGGCAGCACTGCAGACGGTGTCAGTGGCGCCGGCAGGGACGGTGGAGAGCAGGCAGAGAGGGCAGCGGCGGGGGAAGGGGCAGCGGAGGGGGCAGGGGGAGGGGCAGGGGGAAGGGCAGGGGAGGGGGCAGGGGAGGGGGCAGGGGCAGCAGAGCAGGCGAGTGTGATTGGATGGGAGGTTGACGTCATCAGTGCGGCTGCCCTCTCCGCCCAAATGCTCTCCAGGTATGCTCAGGTGTTTTTTCAGGTGTTTGCTCTCTTGCTTTTCAGGTGATTTTCATGGGCATTTTCAGATGCCTTCAATGAATTTCCATGTGTTCTGTGCGTGCACCTGCTGCTGTTACCCTACCCTGCATGCTGTCTCCACATGAGGTCTGAATGCATTTTCACATTCACTGCACTGGTCACATGAGGTAAGCCATCTCACCTCTTGCCTCACCACTTGCTCCATTCCCTCTTTTCACATGTCATGGCATGTCACATCTCAACATGACACAACATGCAGGGAGCGCACGAGTCTGAACGCCATAGCCTTTGAGTCGACAGCAAAGCTCATTCAGCGAGTGCTGGACCAAGGAGTCAACATCGTGGAGGTGAGAAGTCAAACTGAGTCAAACCGAGTCAAACTGAGTCAAACCGAGTCAACTGAGTCAAAGCGAGTCAAACTGAGTCAAACCGAGTCAAACTGAGTCAAACCGAGTCAAACTGAGTCAAACGGAGTCAAACCGAGTCAAACTGAGTCAAACCGAGTCAAACCGAGTCAAGCAAGACAATCGCCTTTAAGTCAACGGCAAAGCTCATTCAACGAGTGCTGGACCAAGCTCATTCGTGGAGGTGGGTGGGTGAGGCATGCCCAGTCAAACTGAGTCAAACCAAGACAAACCGAGTCAAACTGAGTCAAACCGAGACAAACCGAGTCAAACTGAGTCAAACCGAGACAAACCGAGTCAAACTGAGTCAAACCGAGACAAACCGAGTCAAATTGAGTCAAACCGAGACAAACCGAGTCAAACTGAGTCAAACTGAGTCAAACCGAGTCAAGCAAGACAATCGCCTTTAAGTCAACGGCAAAGCTCATTCAACGAGTGCTGGACCAAGCTCATTCGTGGAGGTGGGTGGGTGAGGCATGCCCAGTCAAACTGAGTCAAACCGAGACAAACCGAGTCAAACTGAGTCAAACCGAGACAAACCGAGTCAACCAGAAGCACCAGGAGCGCCTGCAGGCTGCAGCAGCGCTTCCCCTGCGTGCGGTTCACAAGAGGCCCTCATTCATCCCCACCCCACCCATTCTCCACCCCTCCCACTCCGCACCTTCATTCCCCCTCACACAGGCGTACGTGGACACACTAGGCGACCCCCAGAAGCACCAGGAGCGCCTGGAGCAGCGATTCCCCCGCGTGCGATTCACCGTGGCAAAGAAGGCTGACAGTCTGTTCCCCATCGTCAGTGCTGCTAGCATTGCTGCCAAGGTGTGTGTGCTTCCATCGCTCCCCCATCGCATGCTAACAGCCTCTTTCAATCCTGCTCGCCCTCGCCCACCCATCTCCCCCCGCGTGCGATTGCCGTGGCAAAGAAGGCTGACAGACTCTTCCCCATCGTCAGCGCTGCTAGCATCGCTGCCAAGGTGCGGGCATGCAGGTGCTTGCATTGCATCCCTCCTCCATACCATGCTCGAACCATCTCATAAGAAGGCTGACAGCCTCTTCCCCATCGTCAGCGCTGCTAGCATCGCTGCCAAGGTGCGGGCATGCAGGTGCTTGCACTGCATCCCTCCTCCATACCATGCTCGAACCATCTCATAAGAAGGCTGACAGCCTCTTCCCCATCGTCAGCGCTGCTAGCATCGCTGCCAAGGTGCGGGCATGCAGGTGCTTGCATTGCATCCCTCCTCCATACCATGCTCGAACCATCTCATAAGAAGGCTGACAGCCTCTTCCCCATCGTCAGCGCTGCTAGCATCGCTGCCAAGGTGAGGGCAATTGAGCTTGCAAGGTGTGACAGAGGTGCTTGCATCCCTCCTCTGCTTCCATGGCAAAGAAGGCTGATAGGAGGCTGATAGGAGGCTGATAGGAGTTAGGCTGTGAGGCTGTGAGGCTGTTACGCTGTTACGCTGTTAGGCTGTTACACTGTTAGGCTGTTAGGCTGTTACGTTGTTACGCTGTTACGCTGTTATGCTGTTACGCTGTTACGCTGTTAGGCTGTTAGGCTGTTAGGCTGTTAGGCTGTTAGGATGTGAGGCTTTGAGGCTGTAAGGCTGTTACGCTGTTAGGCTGTTAGGCTGTTAGGCTGTTAGGCTGTTACGCTGTTAGGCTGTTACGCTGTTAGGCTGTTAGGCTGTTACATTGTTAGGTGTTAGGCTGTTAGGCTGCTAGGCTGTTACGCTGTCACGTTGTTACGCTGTTCTGCTGTTAGGCTGTTAGGCTGTTAGGCTGTTACGCTGTTAGGCTGTTACGCTGTTAGGCTGTTACGCTGTTAGGCTGTTACGCTGTTAGGCTGTTACGTTGTTAGGCTGTTAGGCTGTTACGCTGTTAGGCTGTTACGCTGTTAGGCTGTTAGGCTGTTACGCTGTTAGGCTGTTAGGCTGTTAGGCTGTTACGCTGTTAGGCTGTTAGGCTGTTACGCTGTTAGGCTGTTAGGCTGTTAGGCTGTTACGCTGTTAGGCTGTTAGGCTGTTAGGCTGTTAGGCTGTTACGCTGTTAGGCTGTTAGGCTGTTAGGCTGTTACGCTGTTAGGCTGTTACGCTGTTACGCTGTTAGGCTGTTACGCTGTTACGCTGTTACGCTGTTAGGCTGTTAGGCTGTTAGGCTGTTAGGCTGTTTGACTCCCGATCGCTGCATCCAGCAGTGAGCCTTCTCTGAGGATGCACCGTGGGCCAACCCCACCCGGCTCCAATTTCAACTGAGTCAACCCAGTCAACCGGCTCAGTGCCCACCCCCCCTCCCCCCAACCCACCCTCCCTTATCCACCCCGCACGTGCGCCCACCAGGTGACTCGCGATCGCTGCCTTCAGCAGTGGGCCTTCTCCGAGGATGCACCGTTGATCCGCCCCCCCCAGCAGCAAAGTCAACCCGGTCAACCAAGTCAACACTGCACTCCCTTCCCCCACCCACCAGGTGACTCGCGATCGGTGCATCCAGCAGTGGGCCTTCTCCGAGGATGCACCGTCCCAGCACCAAAGTCAACCTAGTCAACCGAGTCAGCCTAGTCAACCGAGTCAACCGAGTCAGCGCAGTAATCGGAGTCATACAGAGAGGGTAACAGTGTCGGCAGGAAGAGAAGCAGCAGCAGAAGTGGGAGGCGAAGGAGAATCTGAAGCAGACGCGGAATCAGACGCGGAATCAGACGCGGTAGCGGACGCGGTAGCAGAAGCAGAAGGAGAAGCAGGAGGAGCGGCAACAGCAGCACGAGAATCGTTCGATCTGAATCTGGGTTCAGGATACCCTGGAGGTGAGAGAGGGAGAGAGTAGCGGAGTAAAGGCAAAGGGATGAGCGAGATGAACGGGCGGTGAAAGAAACAGCAGCAGGAGAGTCATTCAGTCTGAATCTGGGTTCGGGATACCCTGGAGGTGAGAGAGGGAGAGATCAGGGAGAGGAGAGGAGAGGAAAGGGAGGCAAATGAAACAGTGGAAAGAAAGGCGTGGGAAGAGGAATGTGGAGAGGAGAGAAGGGGGGGGAAGGGAGGTGATGTTAATCGCTGAATAAGGCACCTTGTCTCTCCGCATTTGTCTGTTTCTGCATCCGCTCTTTGCCCTGTGCACCCGCTCTTTGCCCTGTGCACCCGCTCTTTGCCCTCCTCGTCCCTGTTTCCCATCAACCCCCTTCGCTCCCCCACCCCCTTCTTCCGCTGTCTCCATCTGCACCCGTTCCCTCCATTCTCACTCCTTCCCCCCCGTCTCCTTCTATTCTCCCCAGACCCGGCCATCAAGGCATGGCTGGCGGGCAGAGTGGACCCGGTGTTTGGCTTCGTGCACTTGAGCTGTCCTCACTGCATCACTGCATCACTGCTTTCCTCGCTTTCCCCCATCCTTTATCCCCCCAGACCCCGCCACCAAGGCGTGGCTGGCAGGCAGTGTGGACCCTGTATTTGGCTTCCCCTCTCTTGTGCGCTTCAGCTGGGCCACTGCGAAGACCATCATGGACTCCTCTTGTGTGCCTGTGCACTGGTACGCGCTCAATCAATCCTGATGTGCTATACCTGAGACGAATCTATGATTTGCGCGTATGACTAGAGGCCACCTCCTGCGCTGATGATTTCTGTGATTTTCTGGCCACAGGGAGGCAGATGAAGCTGAGGAGGGGGGGCAAGTGTGGGCAGTCAAGCAATCGAGCCCTGCAGCTCCTTCCAAGCGCAAGCGGAAGAACGTGCGTTTTGAGTCTGTGGCACAGCAACGACACTCGTTCTTCCGGGCTCGCAAACTGCAGCTTGCCACCACCAGCTTGTAAATGTTGCATGAAGATATTTCTGGTAGAATCATAAGGTGATATCTTGAAAGTGTGGCAATTTTTTCTATTGTTATTATTCATATTCCCCGCAAATACGAGCCGTAACACATATCAAGAATCCTCAGCCACGTTTCTTGCTTCTGAGCCGCCGCCGCGAGGGGCCCGAGGTCATCAAGTGACAAGTCAGGTTGAAGTTCTGATGCACCAGCTCTCACACGCCATTGGTTGAATAGAAAGGCGAGCCCCCGAGAAATAACCGCGCCCAGCCGCAACAACCCCAACCACTTGGGTTTCCGCCCGAGCGCCTTGCCGCGCTTTTCCGTACAGACTGGTGGTGCACTTTCCGCAAGGTTGCGCTCCGCTGACGACTGACCGCCTTGCGCCCCCCAATCGGCTGGAGCTCAGCCCCTACCGACCGCGCCGGCGACCCCATCTGTAGGAAAACATCCAGACCAGCTTGGCTCAAATCGGCTCAGATGCTTTCACGATGTTTTGAAACGGTTCGAGTCGGTTCAATCCCACAAGGTGGGTGGTTCCTGTCCATTCACTCGCGTTGATTGATTTGACCGTTGATCGTCGCAGCTGGGTTTCTTTCAAGCTCAAGAATAGCCGCAATTCCCTGAGCACTGCTCACTTCCCTAGGTTACGCTTTTGATATGGGTGTGGCCATCGCAGCAGCCTCTCGAGCCGTTCACCTCAGGAGATTTCAATCCGTACGTGGAAGGATTCCTACGATCCAGGCTATTCTCCGAGAAAGACCGAGGATAACGATAGAATTGACCACGCGGCATTTTTAAACATGCAAATGAACACGCTAGCAGATGACGTGGCGGTAGTTAAAGTTTCAAAATTTCAGTCTGTAGCAACTACAGTCTACCCGCTGCATGACGTGGATGAGGACAGTTCAGAGGACTTTGACACGTCAGTGTCGTCAAGCGACTCGGCCGAGTCATCTCCCCGGTCTTCCTGGGAGGTTGCAGCTGCCTTGGATCCACGTCAGCTTGACTGGGTGCACCTCGCGAGCCGATTAAAGTCGTCGGCTCTTGACGTGCTCCACCAGAGTAACAAGTCAGCATCGTTTTACCAGACGAACGCGCGTGCTTCGCTGGAGGGCGAAGAGCGCGTCGCTGACGGGTGCTCAGGCGACGATAGTTCAGAGCGGTCCGAGGATTTGAACAACGGTTCGGATTCTACAAAAGGAGGCGAAGACGAGCAGGATGACACGGCTAGTGATCGGGAGAGTGAGAGGGGTGAGGAACGGCGCGAGGCGGTGGCAGCGAACGAGGAGGCTGCGAGGGAATCGGTTACGCGCGAGCAGACGGGGAAGGATTGGCGATTGGAGCAATCGTGGGACGTAAGCAGCGTGGGGTTGTGGGACGAGCGAGGCGACGGCGAGTCGGACGCGGCGGAGTCGGTGCGGAGCATCTTCAGCTGGCCGGGCCCTTCGAGCTCCGAAAGCGAGGCGGAGGGCACGGAGATGGTCGACATGGCGCGGGCGGTGCGGGTGGCGGAGGATCTGCCGGTGGCGGAGATGGTGGGGACGGCGGAGTCGGAGGCGCCGGAGATGGCGGAAACAGCAGAGACGGCGGAGTTGACGGAAACGGCGGAGATGGCGGGGGCGGTGGGGATCGTCAAAATTGACAGCGAGTTGCAAGTGCGTGTAGTTAAGGGGCTAAGGCGGGCCGAGGAGCGGTGCGGGCTGGAGCTTCTAGGCGCCGTGGTTGCGCGGAGTAATTTAGAGCCGTTTCGGAATAAACTTTTAGGTGGCGTAGCGAGGAGGAGTAAGAGACGGAAGAGACGCGCAGCGGCCAGCGCTGCACGCATAGCGGGAATCGGAGAGGACAGTAGCGAGTCGGAAGCGGAGGAAATTGAAGGGCGGGAGATGCAAGTGTTCCGCGTAATGGTCGTACCGGCGGAGGATGAGGGCGCGCGGGGCGGAACCGGGGGAAAAGTGAGTGCGGACGGGGCAGGCTCGGGTCAGACCTGTAGGCTTCAGGACGGAGTTAGTGAAAAGGTTGGGATGCTGGGTGGAGGCGAGGAGGGGGAAACGGCGACGCGCCGTGCACGAGCTGCAGCAGACATCGCGGCGCCGGGAACTGAGAAAGCGGGTTCGACGGAGGCGTGTCTTCCCGCCAACGGTGCCAGCAGCACGGCCAGGGATCCTCCTCCTCCCACGGGGTCGCGCTGCGACGGTGGCCCCGACATAAGCACAAGCCGGGCAGTGCTGCCGTGCGCGGAAGGAGACTGCGACTCTGCGCGCAAAGAGGCTGGTTCGCGCGGGTTCGCCGTGCGCGGAGCCCTGGTAGGCGCTTTCGCGGCGGTGCTGCCGGGTGTGCGCGCGGTCACCTCCGCGCTCCAGTCCGCCGTGGTGAGTTCCTTTTTAGACTTCTCAAAACGCTCTCTAATCTACTGTGGTGAGTCCGTTACTTCCCTTAATCCCGTTCGTCGGTATTTCCCTTTCGTCACACCTCGTTTCCAATGATTGCACCCGTCTCCTTTGCCTTACCCGCGTTCCTTTTCTGCACTTCGTCTCTGAGATTTGATTTCTATGGCCCTGTTTGTCTGCCCCGTGCCTCCCGCCGCAGTCCACGGTCGGGGAGATCTGCTATCACGAGCTTCAGAGCGCGTCCCCCGCGCAGGCGGACCGCGCGCAGCTGCTCGCGGCGCTGGCGCGGGCGCAGACGCGCGCGCAGGCGCACGGGCTGGCGGAGGGGCAGCAGTGTCTGGCGCCGTGGGACCCGGACGCGGTGGTTGCGGTGCCCCTCGGGACTGCCGCGCAGGTGAAATCCGCGCTGCAGGCCTCGCGGGAGCTGCTGCGCGCGGAAGAGGTGGCGCTTTCCGGGGAGAAAGGGGAGGCGGGGGAAAACGCGGAGGCGGAAAGGCAGGCGGACGGGGAGGACGCTCGTCGGGAGGAGCACAGGCAGGAGGAAGTGTTGGGGGACGTTAAGGGAAGGGGGGGGAGCGGAGTAAGCGGGGCAAGCTGCGGAAGTGGGGGAGGCGGGGGATTCAGGGAAAGCGGGGGAGGCGGGGGAAGCCGGGGAAGCGGGGAGCTGCCCATGGTGCTGGCGCGCACATTGCAAGCCCTGGACGTGTTTGAGGACGTGTCCCTGTTGACTTTTGAGTCGACTCAAAAGTCAACTCTTGAGGCGACTGAAAAGTCAACTCTGGCGCGCACGCTGCAAGCCCTGGACGTGTTTGAGGACGTGCCCCTGCGGGACGACGACGAGGGCGCGGGGGGCGGAGGGGTGGGCGCGGGGGGCGCACGGATGTTCGTCCCCATGCGCCAGCTGGCGGCGGGGCTGGCGACCGTGGGGGGAAACCTAGGGGGAAGCATGGGGAGAAATCTGGGGACGATGGGGAGAGTGGGGAGCGGAAATGGCCGGGGGAGTGTGAGGGGGAGTGATGGGGAGGGGGAGGGGGAGGATTCGGAGGTGAAGGCGGGGCATGGGTGTGGAGAAGCAGCAGATGGGTATGAGGTGATGGGGTATGGGGGGGATGCATTTTTGGATAACTTGAGGTATGCTGGTGGGGGGGTGTATGACGATGGAAGAGGGTTTGAGGCTGGGCGGGTAGAGTGCATGGGTGGTGAGATGTGTCTTGATGCTATGGGGCGTTTTGACGGTGTGGGGTGTTTGGAAGAGTGCGGGTGTTTGGAGGAGTGCGGGTACGTGGAGGAGAGCGAGGCGAGCGGGCAGGAGGACACTGGCATTGAGGGAAATAGATTCGCAAGGGAGAGAAGGGGGCAGCTGAGGGGCGATGGAAGAAAGATGGGGATGATGCAGAGGGAGGAGGAGGAGAAAGAGGAGAGTGAGTGGGAGCAGGTCAAGGAGCATGCGGTTGATGAGGGCGAGGGCGAGGATGAGCTGTGGAAGCTGCGTGCCTCCCTCCACCGGGCGTCACAGCGAGCGCTGCTCTCCCCACACGCCGTGCTGTGCCGCCGCCACCACACGCGCATGCTCTCTGCTCCCCACTTGCACTCCTCGTCACCCCACTTGCACTCCTCGTCACCCCACTTGCACTCCTCGTCACCCCACTTGCACTCCTCGTCACCCCACTTGCACCCCTCCCCGCACTTGCACTCGTCCCCCCACTTCCACCTTTCTCCCCCCTCCATCGACTCCTCCCCCCATGCAGCCCTCTTCCGCTCACACACGGACTGGCCCTGCTACCGCACCCCCTCCCCCCTCTCCTCCCCCACCCGCGAAGGGGGGGAGAGTCCTGCTGCCATGGCAGCCGCTGCAGCTGAAGCGTGGTGGCGAGAGGAGAGGCAGGAGGTAGAGGGGAGGGAGGAGTGGGACGGGAGGGGAGAGCGGGAAGTAGGGGGAAGAGGCGAGTGGGGACGGAGTGGGGCAGAGGAGGCAGGAGAAAGCGGCGAGTGGGAGGGGTGGGAAAGGAGTGCGAGCTTCCCCCTGTCGAGCTGGGACCGGGGCCAGTGGAGGGTCGATTCCTGGGTGAAGAATCCGAGGGAAAGGAGTGTTAATTGCGCTGATGTGAGTGCTGACAGAGAATCGTGGCTGGGAAGAACGGTGGTGTGCAGTGGCGGTGGTGGTGAGACGGGTGAGGGAGAGTGCAGCATGCAGGGAAAAGGCCTGGCTTGCAGAGGCGGTGGTGAGTCGGGGGATGTGCAGGAGCGAGGGGGTGCTGTGCGGAAGCAGATGGGTAAGACGAGACGGAGAGCGGTGGAGAAGAGTGGAGGGGAGAGCCGGAGGGAGGAAGTGGAGGGGAGGGAGAGGAAGGAGAGGAGGGCAGTGGAGGGGCGGAAGGATGGGGAAGGGAGGGAGGTGGATGATTTGAGTGTGTCGGAGGCAGGGAAGGTACAGAGGGTGCAGAGGGTGCAGAGGAGAAAGGGGAAGAAGGCAGTGAAGGGGGTGGAGACGGGAGAGGAGAGCAACGAAGGGGCTTTTTTGGAGAAGCAGAAGAAGAGTGCAAGGAAAGCTGGTCGTGCAGGCAGTGGACAGGTGGAGGTGGGGGTGGGGATGGAAAGGTGTGGGCCAGGGGCTAAGGCGCTTGTGAAGGGCAAGGCGAGGCGAAGAGGAGCAGAAGGTGGCGGTGGATGTAGCAGTGTGGCAGGTGCAAGCGGGGAGGTGCGGGTTGGGATGGGAGGGTGTGTGCCAGGGGCCAAGGCGGTTATGAAGGGCAAGGCGAGGCGAAGTGGGGCAGAAAGCAAGGGAGGAGCTGGCAGTGTGGCAGGTGCAAGGGATGCTGGTGAGGAGCCAGTGTCGGGTGGAGTGCGGAGCAAAGGGAGTGGACAAGGGAAGGTGAAGCGGTGTGGGGCTGTGGAGAGTGGTGTGGTGGAGGAGGGGTTAGAGAGGGTGGGCGATGGGAAGACGCTGACAGCAACAGGGGTGGGTGCTCCGGACGAGCCGCGCCGAGCCCGCTTATCAGCTAGGAGCGGCGCGGCGCGCACCGCTCTGCACACAAGCGGTGACGACCTCGGCTTGTACTCGCTCTCGTCCTCATCTGTATCCTCAGCAGGCGAGCCAAATGAGTGTTGGGTGGAATCAGCAGCAGGGGGGCTCAAAAAGGGCTGTCTGGATCGAACGCCAGGGCAGCAGCCAAATCAGCTTGTTATTTTACCATCTTCCCTCGTGCCGTCCTCCCCACGCGTTCTCCCCGCCTCCGCCTCCCTCTCACTCCCTGACGCCTCTCCATCTGTCGCAGTGCTCCGCTCTTTCTTTGAGTCCGCTCAAACCCCGCCACTCATTCGCCCCACCTCCACCTCCCTCTCACTCCCCAAGGCCTCTCCCTCCGTCTCGGTACTCAGCTCTGCCACTTCGACAGCTGGGATGGCTGCTGCCCCTCGGGAATCCAAGCCTGCTGCTCCCTGCATCGCCGCTGCACCAGCAACCCCCCCACTCGTTCGCCCCACCTCCACCTCCCTCTCACTCCTCAAGGCCTCTCCCTCCCTCTCGGTTCTCAGCTCTGCCACTTCAGCAGCTGGGATGACTGCTGCCCCTCGGCAATCCAAGCCTGCTGCTCCCTGCATCGCCGCTGCACCAGCTACCCCCCCACTCGTTCGCCCCACCTCCACCTCCCTCTCACTCCCCAAGGCCTCTCCCTCCGTCTCGGTTCTCAGCTCTGCCACTTCAGCAGCTGGGATGGCTGCTGCCCCTCGCGAATCCAAGCCTGCCGCGCCCTGCTTCACGCCTGCACCGACTGCCCTCCGCGCAGTGTCCTCGTGTGAGGTAGAGCGGGGTGTGAGTGTGGGTGTTGTGGGTGTGGAGGAGGGTGATGTTGCTCCTGGCTCGTCGTGGCAGATGGGGCCTGATTTGAGTGATGGCACTCCTGCCGAGGCGTGCAGTTGCTGCAGCAGCAGCTGTGGCGGTAGCAGCGTCGGCAGCACGAGCAGGAGTGTCAGCAGCAGCAACTTAAGCAGCAACACCACCTGCAGCAGCAGCAGCAGCAGCAGCAGCACTAGCAGTGGCATTCAACACATGCCAGGCTTCGCACGCTTCTCTCTGCCATCATTGCTCTCACATGCCTGGTCAGCCATGCATGCTGCCACCACACATGTCTGCGCCCTGCTCGCCCTTCTCTCACACCACATGTCATGGGGCTAGCTGCTCTGTGGCTTGCATGCCATGAGACTGACCACGGACATGACATTGTGAGACCAACATTGCATGACATTTCCACCAGCAGCACCAGCAGCAGCGCCAGCTGCAGCATTCGACACGTGCCGGACTTAGCACATCTCGCTCTGCCGTCAGTGCCCTCACACGTGTGGGCGGCCGTGCATGCTGCCACCACACATGTCTGTGCCCTGCTCGCCCTTCTCTCACGCCACGTGCCATGGGGCTAGCTGCTCTGTGGATTGCATGGAGTCACTTGACCATAGGACTGACCACTGACATGCCACTGTGAGCGCGGCCAACATCACATGACAATGCATGACATGTAGCGTATTATGACCTCCCTTGCTATTTGCGTTCATGCATTTATAACATTTTGAATGCTTTCTTTTTGAGTGTTTGTTTTATCTCTTTGCAATCTACGTGAGCCTGCCGTATCTGTGTTTTCTGTAAGTAACCGAATTTGTTATTCCACTATGAAAACCGAGTGAATCTTGTAACGAAGCACAGCTCTTGGGAATTCTGAGAGGCCTCTCGCACTATGGACACATCTGCTCTACTCCTTTCCGCAAGGCGTATCCATCGCTACTAGCCTGCATGGGTCCCGCTTGGCATGTCTTTAGTTTGCCTCCACGATATCTTCGAGAATCTGTCTTCCGAGTGCAACAGACTCTCGGATCTGACATTCGAAGTGCACATGCCCAGGAGGAAGCCGACCGAAACTCGTACAATAGCGAAGCACACTACTCGCGAATTCCGAAGGGGCTCACCTCGGCAGTATCGCCTGGCAAAAACTCGAGTAGCCATCCATCACGTATGCCCCTGCATGGAGCCGCCTTCGCATGTCACTAGTTTGCCTCCACGAGGTGTTCTGCGAGCAGCCTGCGCCGCGGCGCGGCTCCTACATGTGCGACTGCCGCCATGCGCACTCGAACGAGGCTGAAAATGCTTGATTTTCCGCGCCCCACGGGCGATATGAACGACGCACGGAACCGCGACGCGCTCCTCATGCGCAGGCCTCCTCCGCGCGTCTCCTCTTTCCCCCTTCTTGGAACATCTATTTGCGTCGCCGCAACTTCTCTCCTTTGCCACACCTCGTTTTTCTCTCTCTCTCGTCTGACTCCATTTCTCAAGCGCGCTGCTCTGCTCTCCACAGCCGTTCGTCCGTTTCGTCCGTGTCGTGCCTCCCCTTAGACTGTTCTTTCATTCGCCCCTGAACATACTAGCCAGCCATGGCGTGGCGCGTGTTTGCGTACGTCGCCGTCGTGTGCGCGCTGCTGCAGCTCGGCGCGCACGCGGCGTCCGACGCGGAGTTCCTGCCGCCCGCGCCAGAAGATGTGATTAAAACGGAGGGCGGCTCGCTGTCCGTATGGAGCCGCGAGTTCGAGTTCTTCAAGGTGCCGCCCGCCGTGCTTTGCTTGTCAGAACTACCGACGTGTCGCTTCGTTGCTTCGTTAATTCGTCAGTTCGTTGTCTCGCAATCCTGATCAGCGGGATAATCCGCTGTTCCAATGTCCTGTTGTGCTCCCGCGCTCCCAACTCCAGCACGCGAACATGAACGCAGCGCGCATGGAGGCGGCGGCATATTCTCCGGTCCTGCCGGAATACAACGACGCTCCGCAGCTCTCCTTCATCACGCACACCCCCCTGCTCACCTGCTGGACGCCCTTGCCTGCCTCACGCGCCTGCTGCTCCCGCCTTCCCTCCCTCTCCCCCCTATCCCCCAGGATGCGAATATGAACGCAGCGCGCATGGAGATTTCGGCCTTTTCTCTCGCCCTGCCGGAATACAACGACGCCCCGCAGCTCTCCTTCATCACGCACGGCTGTGCCTTCATGGGTCTGCTCTCGCCCATGGGGGTCCCTGCCCCGATCAGGTGCGTGCGTGCAGCGTAGGTGGCCTCAAGCCCAGAGTGTGTGCGTACCATACCGCGTGAGGTCACAAGGCAGCAACGATGCCCCGCAGCTCTCCTTCATCACACACGGCTGTGCCTTCATGGGTCTGCTCTCGCCCATGGGCGTGCCTGCCCCGATCAGGTGCGTGCAGCGTAGGTGGCCTCAAGCCCAGACTGTGTGCCCGCCGTGTGTCTATCCCACGCGGCTGGGCGAGTTGGGCGTGGAACAACGGGTCGGAGCTGCTCAGAGCGCTGCTGCTGTCAGACACGTGCTGATTGATACCCCCTATTCCCATCTGCCTCCTCCCCACTGCTGCCTCCCTGGTGCATGCATGCAGCTACGTCCAAGAGGGAGATGTGGTGGCGATTCTGCGCGGCTGGGCGAGTTGGGCGTGGAACAACGGGTCGGAGCCGCTCAGAGCGCTGCTGCTGTCCTTCCAACACCCGCTCACCTTCCCTTCTCCCATCTGCGCATCTGCTTCACATCTTCTTCTCTCCCTTGTGTGTACCTGCTGTTGGCGCAGATACGTGCAAGAAGGCGATATAGTCGCCATTCCAAGAGGGTGGGCGAGTTGGGCGTGGAACAACGGGTCGGAGCCGCTCAGGGCGCTGCTGCTGTCGGACACGCGCTCTGCTGCGGAGGCGGGCGAGGTGCACGCGTTCACGCTCATGGGCGGGCCACACGAGACTCTGGGCGGTGTGCTGCACGGCTTCAGGTGAGTGGGCGGGGCACAGTGCATGGCTTCAGGGCGCTGCTGCTGTCAGACACGCTCTTCGTGAAGGCATGCGAGGTGCATGCGTTCACTCTCATGGGAGGCCCGCATGAGCTCGCAGGGACTGACCGAAGCGTGGCGCGGTAAGGGAGGGTGCGGGAACTACAGTATCGGAGGGCGTGGAAACTACAGAAGCACTTCTGTAGTTTCCGCACCCTCCGCTACTGTAGGTCCCGCACCCTCCGCTACTGTAAGTCCCGCACCCTCCGCGTATCTTCCACATAGTTCCCGCACCTTCGTGAGATACTCCCCGGGCTCTGCGGAGCGTGGGGAGGTGCATGCGTTCACTCTCATGAGACGCTCGGTGCCATTCTGCTCGGTTCAATAGCCAGCCAGGGAGGTGCACGCGTTCACACTTGTGGGCGGCCTGCATGAGACACTGGGGGTATGCTGCATGGGTTCAAGTAAGTGGGCGGCTCAGTGCGTCGTAAACAGCTTCTTGCCTGCTCTTCTGCTTTCCGCTCCTCGGCTTTCTGCTTCCATATATGCATCTCATGCTCCATCCCCTCCCGTCGTCTCCCTCCCGTCTCAGTGCGGATATGCTAGCGAGGGCATGGGACGTGGAGGAGGAGGAAGCAAAGCGCCTGGTGGCGGGGCAGAAGCACGTGGGGTTTATCGCAATTGGCAGTGTGAGTCACTCAAGTGTGCTGTGGGCCATGTGGGGTGTGCTGCTGCTGGGTTATGACATTGCGCTTGTCGCCAATACTTTGAATGGAATGTGGAATGCTGTAGCGTGCTGCATCAAGGTGACTTTTGAGTCGACTCAAAAGTCACCTCGTTAGAATGGAATGTGGAATGCTGTAGCGTGCAGCATCAAGGACAAGGAGGCTCCAAGTACCGCCCTCACAATCTCCTTGCCACCTCTCCTCCTTCCCCCTCCCTCCACCCCACCGCAGCACAACGCCCCGCGCCTGACAGCACAGCTGCAGGCAATGCTGGAAGAGAGTGACCAGGCGTATGGTGAGGAAGAGGAGGTCGTTGACAGCATCGACATGGAGGGCAGCAAGGGCGGGAGCCACATGCGCATGGGGGACATCTCGCCTTTCACGCGCTTCAAGTACAGCCTCGCCCATGCAACGCCTGACGTGTCGGTGCCCAGGGGGGGAGACATATTCGTTGTGGATCGCACCAAGCTGCCCGTGCTGCACCACGTCGGCCTCTCCGCTTTTCTGTATCATCTGCAGGTGAGCTCCCTTCTTCCTCTGCTCCTCTGCTCCTCTGCTCCTCTGCTCCTCTGCTCCTCTCCTTCCTTCGCTTCTCCAATCTCTGCACCCGACCTCTCTGTGCCCAAGGGAGGAGACATTTTTTGTGGTGGATCGATCCAAGCTGCTCGTGCTGCACCACGTCGGCCTCTCAGCTTCTTTTTACCACCTCCAGGTAAGCTCCCTTCTTCGTCTCCTTCCTCTGCTCCTCTGCTCTCGTTTCTTGTCATGGGCAGGCCATTGGCTTTCTCGTGCCTCTTCTTTTCTGTCTCCCCCATACTTCTCGTCTCCCCTCTCCCTGCCCCATCCCTCCATCCCTCCAGCCCAGTGTGCTCATAGCCCCACACTGGTATCCCAATGTGGCCATCCCGTACGTGGTGCTGGCGGGTAGCAGCCGCATCGAGGTGGTGTGCCGTGCCCTGACGGTCTCACACGTCGTCTTCTCTCTTGCTCCCCTGCTCTCTGCCCCACCCGCCCCACGGCCATATGCACTGCTAGCCCTCCACTGGTATCCCAACGCGGCTATCCTGCACGTGGTGCTGGCGGGCAGAGGCCGCATTGAGGTGGTGTTTTCTTTTTAATGAGCGCCTTATGCTTGCTTCTGCTCACCTGCCGGCCTGCTTCCCTGCTTTCTTGCTTCCCTGCTGCCCCATCCCTCCAGCCATTCTGCACGTGGTGCTGGTGGGCAGAGGCCGCATTGAGGTGGTGTTTTCTTTTTAATGAGCGCCTTATGCTTGCTTCTGCTCACCTGCCGGCCTGCTTCCCTGCTTTCTTGCTTCCCTGCTGCCCCATCCCTCCAGCCATTCTGCACGTGGTGCTGGTGGGCAGAGGCCGCATTGAGGTGGATTACCCTGACGGTTGATGACACACCTCATGCTTACTTGTGCTCTCTGCTCCCCTGTTCCCCTTCTCTCTGCTCCCCTGTTCCCCTTCTCTCTGCCCATCTCCAGCCCAATGCACTCCTCGCCCCCCACTGGTACCCCAACGCGGCTATCCTGCACGTGGTGCTGGCGGGTAGTGGTCGCATAGAGGTGGTGTATCCTGACGGCCGCACCGCTCTGCACCGTGACGTTCGCACCGGGGATGTTATTGCTGTGCCTGCTCTCTTCCCCTCCTCCATGGTACGTCCGCTCTCTCCCTCAGCACCCTCATCTCTTCCGAGATGTTATTGCCTTCTTCATGTTATGTCCTCTGCATTTGTTTGTTTCTCACCACCCTCCACCCTCCTGTTTCTCACCACCCTCCTGTTTTTCACCACCCTCACCACCCTCCTTATTGCCAACAACCTCCCGCATAACTCTCACCAGGAAGCCTCGGAGGAGGGAATGATGTGGATTGCTATCACCAACCGCCTGCTCTCCACTCCTTCCTAGCGCGTGCTCATGGCAGGGTTCAACGTCGAGGTGGAGGGGCTAGAGGCTGAACAGACTCTACATTCTTGCCCTCCCTCCTCGCTCTCCTCCCCATCGCTTATTCCTTTCCTCCCTCCCCGCCCCTCTCCCTACTGCATCAACAGGAAGCATCTGAGGAGGGAATGATGTGGATTGCTATCGCCAACCGCCCGCTCTCCCCGCCCTCCTTCCTCGCGGGGGCTACATCGGTGTTCAAGGGTATCCCAAAGCGCGTGCTCATGGCCGCATTTAATGTTGACAAGGAGCTTGAGGACAAGTTTTACAAGGCCCGCCGCGACCCATCGGAGATTGCGATATTTCCGTCCGCTGAGAAGAGCATTGCCACTGCATAGGGTGTGGATAAGTGTTACAAGACATGACGCGACCTATCGGAGATTGCAATTTTCCCGCCGATTGAAAAGAGCCCTGAATAGGGTGTATGGAATCTCAATGCCACCGTCCGGTTTGGATAAAAGGAGAGATAGGAAACGAGTGCTTTGATGTTGGAGCAAGACGATTGTTGTGTGTAGGTTTTTGTGACTGTTCTCAAATGAAATGAAGCTTTCATGAATCGAGATGTATGATAGCAAAATATGTTTAGGTTAGTTGATAAAGCGGATAAGTTTCGATCACTTCCCCCTTGAAGTTTTCCTCCTGTCCGCCCCCATTCGCGTCGATTCACCATCCTCCCAAATGACTTGCGCTGCCCCTATGAGGGCTTGCGCGCTCCTCTCCCGCCTCTACTCGCCACCCGCCACGCGTCTGTCCGCCATTCGTCGCCACGTGAGCAGCGCGCCAATGGGGTTCGTCATCGCGTCGAGTGAATCAAAAGGCAAGCCGCTGCCGTTAATTCTTTCTCTGGCAGCTGATTTTCTGACGGCCGTCTGTTTCAAGGCCGTTTGTTTGACCGGCATGCGATTAGCAGGCAGCCCATGAAATCGGATAGGAAGGGGGCGATAACATGATTGGTCAATGAGGGCGATAACTGCATATCCCTCCGCCTCTCCGCCCTCCGCCGCAATTTCCCCATCATCCTCTCCCCCCCTCCCCGCAGTGCAGTTTGTCGAGCTGCGGGGGCAGGGGCTGGCGCAGCGGATTTTATGCACTCTTTCCACATCCGCCTCCGGCCTTCACCCTTCCGCCTCCCTCCCCTCCGCAGTGCAGTGCGTGGAGCTGCAGGGACAGGGCCTGGCGGAGAGAGTTGAGGCACTCCCCGTTCACAACCCCAACAGTCCCCCCCACCTCCGCCCGTCCCCCTTCCCCTCCCCCCCGCAGTGCAGTTCGTGGAGCTGCAGGGGCAGGGCCTGGCGGAGCGGAAAGCCGCCATTCAAGATGTGCGTTGGGGAAAGGGGGAGGGGAGGGGGGGCAAGGAACGGGGAGAGGGCACGGAAATGTGAAGGACTAGCGTGGGGAGGTTGGGGAAAGGAAATGGGCGTTGAGCGTTGAGGGAGGGGGGTGGGCGTTGAGCGTTGAGGGAGGGGGATGGGCGTTGAGCGTTGAGGGAGGGGGATGGGCGTTGAGCGTTGAGGGAGGGGAAGCTGCTAATCCAATTCACCTCTTTCAACCTCCCTGCTCCGTCCGCTCCTCCTTTCCCCCACCCGTCTCCCCTTCTCCCTTTTCGCTCTTCCCCCCCCTCCTCCTCCTCCCACATCCCCCATCAGCTACGAGTGGTGCCTCTAGAGGGACCCTCACGCTACATCCGACCGCGACACTCCGCCTTCCCCTTTTACCTCCCCACTCCTCCTTTCCCCACTCCTCCTTTCCCCACTCCTCCTTTCCCCACTCCGCCTTCCCCCACTCCGCCTTCCCCCACTCCCCCTCCCCACCCCCCCATCAGCTACGAGTGGTGCCTCTGGAGGGACCCTCACGCTACATCCGACCGAGGAGCATTCGATACAAGCAGCACGGCAAGGTGTGCAGGGTACATGTATAGCTTGTTGAATCCCCCATAACAATCACGCAGAACGGCAAGGTGAGCTGAGAGCACTCACTGCCCATTCACTGTATACTTATAGCCCATCAACAATCACTTAAAGCTTGATAGCACTCCAATCCATGGAACATGCACTCAGCCCGTCAGCAGTGCACTTAAAGCCAAACTCACCAGTGTTGCAGTGCTGCATGGTGTTGGAAGGCCAAGGCTCGATTTCTTCCTTGCCGCCCTTCCCCCCTTGCTGGTTGCATCAGGACCGTCGATGGGACATGGTGCAATCGCATCCGTCCGTTGCGGTGCTGCTCTTTCACACAGAGCTGAAGCTGCTCCTCATGGTACGCGTTACTTATGCATGCCACACACCCAAATGCCACGCGTTGCTATGACTCACGCATGCCACACCTTATCTCTCTTCTCCTACTATGTGCCCTACTATGTGAACTTGTCTCGAGCCTTCTTCTTCGCTCTTCCCACAACTACCCTACTCCCTCCATCTCTCCCCTCTCCCTCTCGTCATCCCTCTCCGCCATCCCCCTCTGGGCCCAAACCCCAATGCCCATGCCAGGTGCGTCAGTTCCAGCCTAAAGTGCTCGCAGTGGCAGCAGCGGTGGCAGGGGCACCAGAGGCGAACATTATGGGGGAAGAGGCTGTGGAGTGTATTGTTGAGTTGACTCACAACTACTCCCCTCCACTCCACCCCTCTCCACCTTCCCCCCTGCTAGGTGCGGCAGTTCCGCCCCACCAGTTTCCTACCTGCAGTTTCCTACCTGCAGTTTCCTACCTTCAGTTTCCTACCTTCAGTTTCCTACATGCAGTTTCCTCCCTCCAGTTTCCTACCTGCAGTTTCCTACCTGCAGTTTCCTACCTGCAGTTTCCTACCTGCAGTTTCCTACCTGCAGTTTCCTACCTGCAGTTTCCTACCTTCAGTTTCCTACCTGCAGTTTCCTCCCTCCAGTTTCCTACCTGCAGTTCAGCAGCAGCAGCGGCAGCGGCAGCAGCAGCAGAGGCGAACATAAAGAGGGAAGAGGCTCCGCAGTGTGCTGTCGAGTTGACTCACAACCACCTCCCTCCACGCCCCTCCACCCCGACCCCCCTCCTGGCAGGTGCGGCAGTTCCGCCCCACAGTACTTGCAGCAGCAGCAGCGGCGGCGGCAGCAGAGGGGGAGGAAGAGGGGAACGAGGAGGGCGTGAACCTGAAAGGGGACCTTGAAGCTGCATTCACTTACGAACTGTGTGCAGGTGGGAGTGGTTGAGAGCGGTTGAGAGTGGTTGAGAGTGGTTGAGAATGGGTGAGGGTGGTTAAGAGCGGCATAGGTGGACATTGAAGGAAGAGGATGGGGTGAAACTCCTGGGGGACCTTGACGCTGCCTTCACCTGCGAGCTGTGTGCGGTGGAGAGCGGTTGAGAGTGGGTGAGAGCTGGTGAGAGCGGGTGAGGGTGGTTGATTGTGGGTTAGTGCTCTGCTCTGGTGAGACTAGGTAGAAGTTACAATGGGGGAGGTCAAAGCATCTTGAAGAGTCATGTGGGCGTATGATGACTGTTGTGTGTGCTGCCGACATTCCACGTGTGATGACTGTTGTGTGTGCTGCCGACATTCCACGTGTGATGGCTGTTGTGTGTGCTGCCGACATTCCACGTGTGATGGCTGTTGTGTGTGCTGCCGACATTCCACGTGTGATGGCTGTTGTGTGTGCTGCCGACATTCCACGTGTGATGGCTGTTGTGTGTGCTGCCGACATTCCACGTGTGATGGCTGTTGTGTGTGCTGCCGAAATTCCGCGTTCTCCCCCCTCCACTCACTGCCATCAATTGCTGCTCTCTCCTCTCCCCGCCACTTCCCCTGCTGCTCCTCTCCCCCTGCTTGCCCCGCTGCTCCCCCACTGCTCCCCCTTCTCCTCCCTTGCTCCCCCCACTGCTCCCCCTTCTCCCCCCACTGCTCCCCTCGCTGTGCCGTCCGTGCAGGCCTGGTGGACAAGGCAGGCAAGGACCTTAGACAGATCGCCAAGGTGAGGGGGAAGGGGTGGAGGAGGGTGGGGGAAGGGGTGAGAGAATGCGCTAGGACAGGGCTGGGAATGTGAAGGAAGGGGTGATGGGGTATGACATGCCAATGGAGGCACTGCAGCTGCTGAATTGTTGCACCACATCCCGTTCCACCCCGCTCCACCCCTCCACCACACGCCACCCCACTTCACCCCACTCCACCCCGCACTACTCCACTTCACCGCATTCAACCTGATTCTACCCCATCCCCAGGAAGAGGTGTTGGAGGAGACGGGGTATGACGTGCCACTGGAGTCACTGCAGCTGGTGACGGCTGCTCTCACGTCCGTGGGCATCTCAGGGGCCCGGCAAACCATGTTCTATGCGGAGGTGAGCAGCTTAAAGCCTAGATAGTGCCCGGGCTGACATACATTGAACTGCTTAAAGCCTGGATGAACCTACGTTGATGAGCTGGTGACGGCTGCCCTCACGTCTGTGAGCATATTGGGGCCCGACAACCATGTTCCAAGTGGAGGTGAGCTGTCAAAATCCCTGGCCAACCCACATTGACCCAGGTCGGCCCACATTGACCCAGATCGGCCCACATTGACCCAGGTCGGCCCACATTGACCCAGGTCGGCCCACATTGACCCAGGTCGGCCCACATTGATCCACACGGATATACTTTGACCCTAGCTCATCATAGGGACCATTTCTGGGTAGTTCTGCCATCTCTGGTCTATCTGGAGTTTGGAGATGTTTTGGTGCAAATGTGCCTGCGCGGCCTAATGGATAAGGCATCTGACTTCTAATCAGGTGATTGTGGGTTCGAGTCCCACCGTGGGTGGGCTTTCATTCACCTTTTTCTTTCCTGCTTTTCCCCTGTCCTGCCTGCTCCATCCCCATTTCCCGTTGCTATGCATGCGTCGATGCCTTGTGCTGTGTGCTGCGTGTTGTGTGCTGCATGCTGCGTGCCATCCCTGTGCCACATGCCATGTGCTGCGTGCTGTGTGGTGGCAGGTGAACGAGGCACAGAGAACTCACGCTGGGGGAGGCAAGGAGGACGAGGGCGAGGTGAGGGCATTCAGTGGGGGAGAGGGGGGGGGACATTAAGGGGTGGTGAGAGAGGAGAAACAGAGTTACGGAGGTATGCAGATGGGTGGGAGGTGATGGGGGAGGCATGCGTCTATTGATTGGGGCAAGGCTGTGATGGCGGGTTTGTTATGGCGAGGAGCGAGACTGGTGGTAGAGTGGAATCAACCACAGTGGAGTGAGAGTGGAATGAGGGCGCAGGTAGACTGCAAGCCCTTTCTGCCTGCAAGCCTGCTACACACCTGCCAGCGTCCCCCTCCCCACTCTTCCCCTTTCTCCTCCCTTTCCCCTGACCAACCTCCCCCACAGCACTTCCCCCCAACCCTACCCACCTTTCCCCTTTCCCCAGGCCATATAGACATGGTGGGGCTGCCACGCCTTCATTGCTCAAGTGCACCTCCCCAAGAGCGCTGGACTGGACGGCACTTGGGTGTCCCCCTTCCTCCCCACTTCCTCCCCCTGCTCTTCTCCTCACTCTCCCCACTTCCCCCCTCCCCTCAGGTCATAGACGTGGTGGGGCTGCCCCTGGCCCACCTGGATGCCTTCATTGCTGACGTGGACCTGCCCAAGAGCCCTGGAGGGCTGTTTGGGGTAGCGTGGTTCAAAGCTACAGTGCTGCCCGCTTTGCAAGGCTCAAGCTGACCTCACATGCTTCAATATGCATTCTTGTGATGGTAGCTATACGTGATATGGAATCACTGTATATGGAGTCATTGTAATAAGCTCGCATGGCAGCTTGCGTATGTGTTGTCATGCATACCATAGCAAATGCTGTTGTAGCTGAGCTGAGTGCTTGCACTAAATATGACAATTACGGGGTAATTGAACTCAGAAAAAGTGCCTTATGCACCTACTAGGTATTTGTGCTACCGGTATCATGCCATGCCATGACATGCAGTCATGCTGGTAGCCACACCTGATGTTTAGTCATCTTAAGAAGCTGGCATGGCAGGTTGTGGTGTGGACTCAACAGCAGATGTGCTTCAACGAAGGAAAATCTTAGTCTACCATAGGTGTGCCAAACTACTGTTTGGCTAAGTAATGAACAAAGTATGAATGCCTACACTACATCTAGAGGCAAAATGAACTAGCAAAAAGTCGGAATTAACAGCTGCCAAAGTGGTCACCCACTGTAGAGCCACTAATGCAGCAGGAATAATAAGCTGCAATGTGCAAGGCACAGACTTCAGAAGATCTGAAGCATGTCCCTTGCTAAAAAGCCTTAATTAAGGCTAACGATGTGGAAAGAAGGTACCTCCCCTCCCCTGCTCCTTCACCAGTTACGGTATCACTGCATGCTGCACTAGCCCTCACTGCATGCTGCACTAGCCCTCACTGCATGCTGCACTAGCCCTCACTGCATGCTGCACTAGCCCTCACTGCATGCTGCACTAGCCCTCACTGCATGCTGCACTAGCCCTCACTGCATGCTGCACTAGCCCTCACTGCTCCTCTTGTGCGCCCCTTGCATCACTCCTCATTAGTCTCACTGGCTCTTATGGCGTTTCATCTTGCGGTGTTTCTCAGGGCAGTCAAACGACTTGTGCCCCTCATCCCCACACACAAAGCACCCCTCCGCGCCCTTCTTCCTCCCCTTACCCTTCCTGCCCCCCGCCCCCTCATGCTCCTGCTCCATTGCTTCCCCACCTCCCCCCATCTCCCCTGCAAAACCCCCAGCCCCCGCACCCCCATGCCCACCACTCCCACCCCCTGCTCCCCCTGCACCAGCTGCTCCCCGTTCCACTCCTCCCATCCTCCCTACCCCTCCTGCCCCTCCTGCCCCTCCACCCCCCACGCCCCCTCGACTAGCCACAGCATACGCCACCTTAACCGGCCTACCGCACGCCACCTGCTGATTCCTCTCAATCGCCCGCTCCAAGCTCTCCTCATCCGCGAAATCCACGTGCCCGTACCCCTTGTGCCGCCCGGTCTCGGGATTCCTCGCCAGGCGCACGGCCGCGATGCTACAGCCGGGGAAGAAGGCCGCTACAGCCGCCTCGTCCATGCTCCACGCGAGGTTGCCCACGTACGCGCGGAGACTGCCTGGGGCGCGCTGGGGGGGCGGCAGGGCGGATGTAGCCTTGGGGTGGGGTGCGGCGGCGGTGGTGGTGGGGGTGGGGTGAGCGGCGGAGAGGGCGGGGGGGGTGGGGGCGGAGGAGGCGGAGGGGTTGACTCTGCAGGGCTTGATGCGAAGGAAACGGCCGTCCCTGAGGGAGAAAGAGGGGCGGAGAGACATAGGAACTTGGGTTAGGTGGAAAAGGGGAAAAGGGAATGGTGTATGTGGTGAATAGCGATACAGGGGAGGGTGGATAGGGGAAGGCACGAGGTGGGGAGGAGCAGCAGCAACGCAGTGCAGAGGAGAGGGGCAAACGAGGCAGTGGGAGGAGCGTGTCTTACATGTCAACGCCGTCCAGCTCCAACGCCTTCCGTGCTCCGATGGCCGTCTGCTCGCCCACACGCACCACACGGCACACACCACGCACACACAAACCACATGACACACACCACGCGGGCACCCGCAAGAAGGTGCACAGGCAAGGAAGATGGGAAGACAGTGAATTGGGGCCAGCAGCGCAGCAGCTAGCGAGAGGAATGCTTTAGCTCCTAACCGCGGTGGGACAGGGCAGAGAGGGGCAAAAGCAGAGAGGGAGCAAATGGAGAGAGGGGGGAAGGGCAGAGAAGGGGCAAGGGGAGCGAAGGGCCGCGGGTGAAAGGACTAGCGCGAGCGCGCGTACCTTGAAAGTGACGAGCGCGATGCCTCGAAATCGGCCCGAGTCGGGGAAGTGCAGGCGGTGGATGAGCGCGATGCGGCCGCACCCCTCGAAGCACTCGTGGATGGCGTCGTCTGTCACGTAGTACGGCAGCCCGCCCACGTACACCCGCTTCTCCTCGTACTGCTCGCCCTGCCGCTGCTGCGCGCCCTGCCACTGCTGCTGCTGCTCTCGCTGTTGCGGCTGCTGCTGCTGCTGCTGCGGCTGGTGCTTCATCTCCACCTCTTTACGCTCTTCTTCGCCCTCCTCACCACCCGCCTCTTCCTCGTCCTCTTCAACCGCCTCCCCTTCCTCCTCTTCATCCTCCTCCTCCCCACCCTCCTCTTCCTCCTCCTCACCCTCCTCCCCTTCTTCCTCCTCCTCCTCCTCCTCCTCCTCCTCCTCCCCTTCTTCCTCCTCCTCCTCCTCCTCCTCTTCTTCCTCCTCCTCCTCCTCCTCCTCCCCCTCCTCCTCCTCCTCCTCGCCGTCCTCCTCCTCATCGTCATCTCCATCGCCACTACTCCCAGACGTGCCGTCACCGCCACTACCGCTCTCCTCCTCTCTCTCCTCCCCACTTTCCCTATCCCCATCGCTATCACTCTCCCTCCCCCTCTTCTCCGCCCTGCCCTTTCCACCTTTCATCCCCGCCCCACCTTCCCCCATGCCCCCTGCCCCGCACGTCCGCACCCGCCACCTTACACCCCCCAACCCCAGCTCCCCGCCCCCGCCGCCCCCACTTCTGCGCTCCCCTGCGACGCCAACCAGCGCCCGTGCCGCGAATGCGACCTCCATGCCTTGCGACGCTTCTTGCGACGCAACGACGGGTGCACACGTGGCTGCGGGCGCAGGGCAAGCGGTGGCGATGGAGCACGTGCGAGCGAACGCAGCGAGAAGGTCGCTCACACCGCCACAGGGGGAGATTCCTGCTCCCCTCTCCTCAATCTCCGCCTCCGGCATGCCTGTAGTCGCAGCCTCGTCGCCCATCGACTCTTGCTCGGCGAAGGACAGTCGCCGTCGCACCGGCGCCCATTCGTCGTGCGCAACCGTCGCACACCAGTCGCCGCCGTCGTCCGACTCCTCGCCGTCCGACGCCCAGCCGGAGCTTCGCATGCTCCGGATGCGACTGCGACATGCGACGCGCGACAGGGTTCCGCCGAACGCAGAGCCTGTAGGCGCAGACGCCGCCCTCATCGTCGCAGCGAGAGGCATCTTCCACGCGTGCGACGACTCCTCCTCGTCGTTGTCGTCGTCGCTTTCCTCATCCGCCTCTTGGCGCGGCTCCACGATCGCCCGGCGCGCAACAACGTCAATCGGACGAGAATCGTCTTGGCCGGGCCAAGCGTTATCCGAACAAATTTCCCGCACTTCGGCGCGGCCTCCTTGCGACAGTTCCATCTCGTCGCCTGATCGATCGCACGTGGTCGTTACGTCGCGGAGAGCAACACACGCGGACGCTAATCGGCTGAGCGAAAGCCTATCATTTGTGTCACAGTGTGCAGTATTGACGGATCGAGCACCGAGAACACGTCGCTGATGCTTAACAATTGTCGGAACGGTAGGACTGGCGTCTAATTTATGAGCCAGTGCGAGAGACCGCGACTCGGAGGGCGTGCTACAGGCACCCAGCGTCCAATCATCGTCCTCCAGCTCAATGTCTTCGCAGCTTCTCGCAAGAAGTAGCGGCGATCTCGGCGTGGTGGGTGGAGAAGTTCTGAACCGCTTACTTGTCAAGATACTGGCGGGATCTTGGCAAACGGTGTTCAGCAGAGAGATATTACTGCCAATATAAGATGCCATTAGCTGGGAACTTACAGGAGGCGGCCACTGAATATCGGCCTCTGCCATCACGTTTTCCTTCCCGTCGAATTGAGCGAGATTCTGGAAGCCCAACCCTCGGGACTGGAACTGCATCATGCTCACGATCTGTGGACGCGCAGTAAACCTCGAAGCTCTTTGAGAGACTAAATAAATGACCACTAGTCACATTAGCAGAACCCTTTTTGATCAAAGCGGGTGCGTGTTGCGCTGAATGCAGAAGGCTAGAAGCACATGGGTATAACTGAGAGTTTTCGAGAAGTGGGAGCTAACAAGGAGCTTGCTATGAGTTTCCAATGAACTCTTGGGAGTTATCCCGAGGAGCAGGCGAGAATCCCAGAAAAGCTCTCAAGGGTTGCCAAGGGATTGCGAAGAGGTTCACTTGGGGGAAGGCGACGCAAATTTTCGAGCAACGATTGTCCGAACCAATTTCAGCAGCCTCGTTTGGGAGTTTGCCGAACCTGCTCGGCAAATATTTTAATTTCGCGCAGCCAACGACAGTTGTCCCATCGCCCTTCGCAAAACCCTCCACACCACAGCGCTGACGTCGTTCAGCCCGCCCTTCACGAACTGCGCTGACTAGAAATTCAGGTTTGCGAGACGCACATGGTGCCGATGAAGAAAATCTCACCGTCTGATCAAACGCGCAACAAAACAGAAGCAGTGAGGCAGGCATGAAAGGCGGGAGAACCTGAATCCAAATTTGCGCAGGCGCCCTAGCTGTGAAATGGGGAGTACACTATATACAGACACATTCAAGTGTACAATCTTCGCGGTGTTTCTATTCATCCATTCTGCAACCTATATTCATAAACACCTTGAAGGTGCCCTAGACTTGTTCATGCTGCTAGAGTGAGGAATTTGGATAGGATAGGACTGCCTTAGAGAGTTGGTAGTGGAAGATTTTTGTTAAGAACCTTGTGCATAGTGAATGTAGATGACAAGATTGATTAAAAGAATAAAGTACAAGCAATAAATAGATCTAGCTAGCCATGTACTATAAGGGGTACATTCCCTTATTCTAACTGTTTTACAGGCATTTCTACAGTGACTCTGGCTGCGTGTAACCGTACAGGAGGTTACGTCTGTTGCCATTCCTCGGTGGTGAGTCAATCGGTCCAGATGGTCAACACTCGCGACAGTTGACCTTGGCGACTGTTGACCTTCCTGCCATTGGTACCGTCATACCCCGGATATAAGCGCCACCCTCGGATAAGCGCCTGGCGCTTTTAATTGGCGCATGGCGCTTATATCCGCTGCTAGATTATAAGCGCACCCCCTGAAAAACCTTATTTTATTATAAGCGCACGTAAACTTTAAATTTTGAAATGTGTTCGAAACACTGTAACACACTGTCCGCTGGTTCACTTTAGCAGGGGGATGTGTTGCAGATTCACTTCCCTTCACATTCGGACCCTGCACTGGATGCGGGTCCAGTCAGCAGGAGCAGTCAGGAGCTGTCAGAAGCTGTCACAAGTGTCAAGATAGGTAGTAGAAAGTTTAGAGGCAGAAAAGAGGAGTTGCACTAGCAAGCAGTTGAGTACATATAGGAACCCTAGATTGGGCTGTACTCGCTATAGAGTACCCCACTGCAGACTAGACAAATACAACATTCTGACACACCCCCATAGTCAAAGTGGGGTATAATCAGCAGAGCAAGCAGTCATAGAGCAGATTCACAAGTGCATGCAAAGCTAGAGGCATTCACAAAGGGCAAGTGAGGAGGAGGAGGCGAGACTGTAGGTGGAGAGGAGATAAGAGGCGTCGGCTGAAGCTGCAGACACACGGGCAACAGGAGTCAAACTGGCTCAGTGGCTACCGGAACAAGCGCCCCGGACTACAGGAGTAACTGGCTCCGCGGCTAAGAAGAGCGGCAGACGAGCAACGGACCCACGGGCGACTGGCGCAGCTGGCTACGACTGGGCTACCGGAACAAGCGCCCCGGACTACAGGTGCTGCTGACGACAAGACGGCAGCCTCCGCTCAACCTCCCCCGACCGTCCCACGCCCCTCTCACACACCCCCTGCTGACACCCTAGCTCCACTCCGACGGTACCCCCCTTAAACCCCAAACCCTAGGCTCCCACACACCACCCCCCTCAGCGGCAGCTGTAGCAGAGGGAGACGAGGGAGGAGGAGGAGCAGGGGGAGGAACTCACAACCGACACCCCCATAGCCGCCACCCCCACACTCTTCACCCCCAAACCCTAATTTAGGAGAACGGGCTGTAGGAGGGGTGAGGCGCCGGTAGAAGCACGGGGGACAGTGGAGAGGGCAGGAGCAGCGAGGAACGGGCCGCCCACGGGCCTGGTAGAGCCGCCCGAACCGCGCGCAGGCGGCCCGAGCCGCGCGCGGGCCTGGCGCTTCCCGTACGGGCCGCGCGCGTGCCTGGCGCAGCCCGTACGGGCCGCGTGCCGGGTGTACGGGCCGCGCGCAGGCCACGACGGGCGACGGGGGGCGACGCGCGGGTCCCCGTCGCCCGTCGCAGCGCCTCCCGGGGGCGACGTGCCGAGTGACGGGGCAGGAACCCGCCGCGCGCCTCGGGGCACACGGCGGGCAGAGAACCGCCGCGCGCCTCGGGGCGCACGGCGGGCAGAAAACCGCCGCGTGCCTCGGGGCGCACGGCGGGCTGAAAACCCTAGTTTCGACGCCGCGCGCCACGGGGCGCGCGGCGGACAGGGAGTAGCAGTAGCAGTAGCAGTAGCAGCGGAAGGCTTAGGTGGTGGGCCCACCCACAGGATCGACCCAGGAGGGTCGACCTGCTCTGATACCATGTCAAGATAGGTAGTAGAAAGTTTAGAGGCAGAAAAGAGGAGTTGCACTAGCAAGCAGTTGAGTACATATAGGAACCCTAGATTGGGCTGTACTCGCTATAGAGTACCCCACTGCAGGCTAGACAAATACAACATTCTGACAAAGTTGTCAGGAGCTGTCAGAGTGGGTGTATCTCCAGCGCGCGCAAGAATTTTGTTGGAACAACCGAAAGGTTATAAAGGCATTCCCGAAGTTGCTCCACTGTACTAGTACCGCATTAGCTCATATAGAGCACGCGGAATCTCGAGGGTCACCCGAAGGTCAACCGTCCAAGATAGTCAACGGTCGTGACCCTTGACGATCCAGTAACCGCGCGACAGTTAACAGACTGCAACACGGTAACTGTCGAGAATAGCAATAGTCGTGGTTACTGTAGCTATGTAATGCAGTTAATAAGGGAATGTACCCCTCAGAGTACATGACTAGATAGTTCACTATTTAATTTCTTGTACTCCTACCTTCTAATCATCTTGTTCTCTTTCAACCTTTTCTTAACAAGGTCACTACAGAGACTTCACTGTCTCCTCTCAGGCTTAACACGTTCTATCCTATCCACTGATCCTTTGGTTGTATCAGCAAATTTCACAGACGACCCCATGTAACTTCGACTCGATTGAAAAAGGCAAGCACGAGATCTACAGCTTGGTGTTAAAAAATATATAAAATATATATGTCGTTTTATAAACGCCGGCGCTTATAAATTTACTCGATTATAAGCCCACCCCCCTAAAAAAACCTGTTTTATTATTGCCCCCCATGGGGGTATATCCGGGGTATGACGGTATGGGCTGATCCGGTACTGTTGTTGGTGCTTCTTCGATAGTGACGGGTGCGATACAGCTGTACCTTGGGGAATGCAAAGCCCGATTCTCTTCACACTCCAACACATGCTATTAAGATGCTTGTTATCAGAACCTGAATGCTACGATCAGAGAATGATCGCTTACCAGGATCTACTCGGGAAGGTTCGCACGTGGGTAGATAGTTGGTGGGCCCTTGACCTCAATAGCAGAGTGAATGTAAAATGCTTGAGATGATAAAAACATGCAAATACAACGACATAAATAAGAGTACAGGGGAATACGAAGCGACCTAACTAGCCATGTACTCTAAGGGGTACATTCCCTTACTCAAATACATTCCCAACCGTGCGGCGCGTACAGTTACGAAACTGTTCCCGCCGAAACCATCCTGCCTGCAGCTGCCCGATGCCGTCTGCTCCGACGGTCCAGATGCGCCCCAACCGTCTGTTGCTTCGAGTCAATCTCCAACCGTCTGACGGTTCGCGTTCTTGCTTCGATACTGCGTGCTTCTCTTTGCTGCGGTGAGGAGTGCTCAGTAACAATGAAATATTACTATTCGTAACACTGAACGCTTCAGCCTTTTTTTACCAGCATATAACAGATACCGTAATACCCTGGATATAAGACCCGGTGGTATTATAAGAATCCCACCCCAAAAATGGGGGAGGGTCTTAACAGTTGGCTACATTTTTTTAGACTCGGGTCTTATCATAAGGTCATCTATACTACTTGTGTTTTGGAAGCCATACATGTCAACACTATGTGCTTCGTTTTTAGCATTCGAAGGGGATACGCGCAATAAAATTCGTTTTTAGCATTCAAAGTCAATGCACGAAATCGACTTGATGAAGAGTATATGTGCCTTTGTGACTGGCTGTTACCCCTCTTTAATGAAAACTTTATAAGATATGGTGTGGAAAAGGGCAGAAAAGCTATCAGAATTGCGTTCATTGCCTATAAAAC